TGGAGCCCACCTGTCCATATTGTAATAGAATTTTTTTTTTTTTTTGTCACTGAGGGACAAGGCGCCAGCTGGGTGAGTGTGGGGTCATGTCTTTTTTTTTTTTTAACTGAGGCTGGAGGGGGGTTGGGTGGGGGGCAAAGGTTGTATTTATTTTTTTTTTTTTTGCTGTTGGTGGAGCCTTCTAGGGGTTGTTGGGTTCCAGGCATGACGGTTTTTTTTTTTTTCATCCCGCCGTCTTTGCCCAGAACGTTCTCTTTCTCCAGCCTCAGCACAGCTGTGGGGTTCCACGGGACCCAGAGGCCTCTGCTCCCTCCTCACCACTTCCCGCTGGTTTTTTTTTTTTTGCTAGCTTTGCACCAAGCACCACCCTGGGCGAGTGTGGGGCATCACTTGGAAGAGGCGCCCACTGCGCTGGTCGTTGCATATGCTGATTAGGATGCTGAGAGTGGAGTTTTTTTTTTTTTAAGCGTGAAAGAAATTTCTTGCCAGTCTTCATGAGATTATGGTAGAATTTTTTTTTTTTTATAAATAATCGGTTGCAAACAAAATTCTTGGGTATCAGAGAGAAAGTTACCCAGATGATGTCATTGGAGATCTTGTCAGTGTCTAAGTTTAAATTTGTTTCTAAAAGTTTTTTTTTTTTTACGTTAATAACAAATTTGTACCATGAACGTTTGAACATAGTCTATTCTTTTTTTTTTTTTAAGCAGGGCCAAGACTTTCTTCTTCACTCCCCTCTTGGTGGGTCCCAGCCGGAGGCAGGCGGCGGGAGGCTAGCCCTCGGCGCGCAGACGCTGCCCTCGGCGGGGCTGGGTACTGCCCCCTCGGATGCCGCGTGCGCCTGTGAGGCCTGCAGCGAGCGCAGGTACCAGGGTGCGACCGTGGGACAGACCCCCGCGCCGTAGCTGTAACGGGAAAGGGACCATTTGCATTTTTTTTTTTTTCATTTGAGCGATTCCTGAGGACAGACAGGAGCCTGGGTGTCAGGCAGTTTTTTTTTTTTTCTGACACTCTCCTGCATCCCTGTCTGTGAGGGCTGACCGGGGCAAGCTAGTACTCGGAAGGAGGGAGGAGGCAGAGCGGAGTCATTAGGTGGAGGGAGAGCCGCCCTCCCCTGGGAGGCTGGGCAAGCTGGCAGTGCAGCCGCTGCAGGGCAGAGGGGAGGAGAGGCCAGGACTTGGGGGCTCTGAACCAGCCCTGCGCTCCGCTCAAGATGGAAGCCAGTGCAGCCGAGTGGGGAGCAGGGGCTTCGTGGGGAGTGAGAGCTGCCTGATGGGCACCTTGAGATGGATTTTTTTTTTTTTGTTCTCGACATGGAACGCCAGGTGTGTGCACTCCTCTTGTGCGAGAAGGGGCCATAGTCCCCTGGGGATGGGGGTTTGGGGAACCGGCCAGCTGCGGGCACCTGAAGCCCGTGCTGGTCATCAGGCCTCCCTGTGGCCACAGCAGATGGGAGCCAGCTCCAGGAGCTTTTTTTTTTTTTTGGTGCCGGTTGGAGTCCGTCCCCATCCCCTTAGGCTGTCTGGAGGGTTTTTTTTTTTTTTGACTGTCCACTAACCCTGACCGCCTTGCTCTTGTGCCGTCTCACAGAGAGATTTCGGCAGAGACGGACCGGGAACCTCAGCAGCTGCAGAACTATTGGTCGGAAGTGTTTTTTTTTTTTTGCTGCATTTACCGCCAGGCGGGGACCCCGCTGGCCGACGACCAAGACTTTTTTTTTTTTTCCGACAAGGAGGGGGTGAAGGAGCTCGTGGATAGGTACACATTGCCCTTTTTTTTTTTTTCCTCCCTCAGCTGCTGCCCAGGAAGCCTCCCCTCTGCTCGGGGTGGGCTCCTCTTTCAGGACCCAGTAAGCCCGGCTGCGCTTGCTCAGCCCCTCGTGCACTGCCAGTTTTTTTTTTTTTGACTGCCAGAAGCAAGCCCTCTGGGTAAAGCTTCAAATTAAAACTCTTTTTTTTTTTTTTCTGCCTGTATAATAAAAAAATGAATCGCCATGTTTCTGTCATTTCTTTTTTTTTTTTTTTGCCGTAGCACTACTTTCTGAGTACTTACCGTGCCAGGGATGGTGCTGAGCACTTTCTCAAGCACTCGTGCCTGTAATCAGCCCAAGGAGGACAGGGTTATCCCACCTTTTTTTTTTTTTTAGCTTCCATGAGGTCAGGCAGTTTGAGAATGTGCCGGGGCGGGAGTGGAGAGCCCACTGTAGCCAGGCCTGTCCGAGTCGGCGTTTCTCAGGTAGGAGTAGCTTACATTTTTTTTTTTTTTCTTCAGCAGACACCTTGTGCCCCGTGACGGTACTGAATTTGAGGTGTTTTTTTTTTTTTTTCTTCCTTACAGTTTGTAGCATCTTTTTTCTCTCTTTTGAAATGTTTTTTTTTTTTTTTGTAAGTTTGAGCTAGACATTTCATGGATTGATTCTCCTTTGGGTTTCTTTTTTTTTTTTTTTGAATGGGGCTTTTATAGACTTATTTGCTGTACAGTACAGTTTATCTTTTTTTTTTTTTTAGTGCTTGGCCGTGGGTTCTGTTAACTAGCGGATGAATCCAGCCAGTGTGTTTAAGGCTTGACCTGTGAGCCCCTAGCATTGCAGGAGATGGCTCTGGGTGCTGTGTGCCTCTTCCAGAAGTTAGGTTTCCTTGTGACTATGAGGAAAAAACATAGAACCTGCTGTTTTTTTTTTTTTTTTCATAGACTACCAGTGCTTGGGATGTGGCTGGAGTTGAATAAGAGGTTTTTTTTTTTTTAAACTCGGCAGGTACTAATACCGATGAGAGATGTTCTGGCAGAGGGTATAAAGCTGGTAACGGAATTCCTGAGGTTTGGGAAACGGCGTTGCCCTTATAGTGAGATATTTTTTTTTTTTTGTGGGAGTATCACACCCCCAGCTGGAGGTATGTCTGTATCAGATACGCTGTACTCGCCCTCACCCTTGTCTCTGAGAGCGCGGCTGCGTTTGTTGTTTATGTGCCGATTTTTTTTTTTTTAGGGACGTTTGTAAAGCCCATTCTGGTCATCCTTTCCTCCCCTCTCTGGCCCTGGGCGTCCTGCATGGTCCTGCTCTGCGCGGCCCTCAGACCATTCTTCGCTGCGTTCCAGCTCTGCTGGCTCCCATCCTTCCTCTGCTGGTCACACTCGCTCCTGCCGCAGGGCCTTTGCATTCGCTCTTCTCTCTGTTTGCCGTGTTCTTCCTTTCCCAGGGTGGTTTTTTTCTTTTTTTTTTTTTTCACATTACTTTACAGAGTCACCTTCTCCAAGAGGCCACCCTGGGTAATTTTTTTTTTTTTTTCCTGCCATCACTCTTACCCCCTTGCCTTCTTTTTCATTATACTCCTTTTTTTTTTTTTAATTCCATCATCTGTGTGCATGTGCCATAAGCGTCGTGAGGGCAGAGTTTTTTTTTTTTTGGCTTCTTCACTGCTGCGGCTTTGCCACCTCACAGCAGCCTTCAGCGTTTTTTTTTTTTTGTTTGTTCAATGTATGTATGGATGAGCCACCACAGTGTCTTCGGCATACTCCTGCCTCTTGGTCGTACAGCCTTAAAAAAATCTACTCGCGGAAGGACCACATGACCTTTTTTTTTTTTTTCTAAGGTACAGAAATGGACAAAGAAATAAAATAAAATGGATGTTTATTTTTTTTTTTTTAGAGGCATCCAGTTTACTTGTAAGTTTGGTTGTTCCTCTGTCATTTGTTTTTTTTTTTTTATTCCTTTAACAGATGAAATACATTCTGTTTCACAGAACAGTTGTACTTTTTTTTTTTTTTGTGATTGCTACACTAAAAAACGACTATATCTTTCTGAAGTGTGCTGTTTTTTTTTTTTTTCCCATCAGTTTTTATTGTTTCTCTAGCTACATTTTGTGCAAGGCTTCCCATGCTCCATTGCTGGGTTTTTCTTGCCTCTTGTCTTTATAACTTAGGTGGTGCACTATTTTTTTTTTTTTATAGATGGCAACATACATTCCTCTCTTTCGACCAAATGTGGTGCCCATTTTTTTTTTTTTTCCATTATGTAAAATCCAGGAACTATAGCTTGGTATGTTTTACAACTTTTTTTTTTTTTTGTGCTGGCCTCAAGTGCTTCCTCCTGGTGGTGGTTTGCAGACAGATACTGTTGTCGCCCCCACGGTCCTGGGTTTCCGCCTGCAGCCTCCTCAGAAGTGCACAGTTATTTTTTTTTTTTTCTTTAGTAGATTATCTCCAGATTAGGAAAGAAATTCATAAAAATGTTTTTTTTTTTTTTTACCCAGTGGAAAGGCACATATTAACTTTTCCCTTCTCTTTTTTTGTGTTTTTTTTTTTTTAGAGACATTGATTCTACAGTTTCCTCTGATTATAAAAATAATAAAAGCTCATTTGGATTACATACTGAATTCCTAGAAAGAAGGACAGAACAGTCCGCTCTAGAGTTTTTTTTTTTTTTTATCACCTCTGCTGGGTTGGTTGCTTTTCACCTAACACACGGGCATTGAAAATTAATTGTCTTCAGTCTCCTGAGGGAAAGCGCATCCCTCCCAAGACAGCCGCTGAGGTGCTGGTGTGTACACTCTGCCACGTGCTGGGTGTGTGAGTTCCCAGCATTTTACCCAGCTTTTTTTTTTTTTGGTGTTTAGCGGAGTGAGTAACTCAGTGATTAACTGGGTCAGTCCATTTTTTTTTTTTTTCTAGTGCAGAGTAAGTTTTGAGTAAATACTGGGGTTTTTTGTCAGCTTTTTTTTTTTTTTTTCTCGGCGCTCTCTGTGCCTGGGCCCCTCTGTGTCGAGTGGGGTGATGGCACCTCTCACAGGGCGTTCAGAAGATGGTGGTTGTTGCCATCGCTGGGTGGGCACCCGTGGAAAGGCTGCAGAACGTGGCTCACCGATAGCGGTTCCGTGGAGGGCCTTGTTTGGACGGGTCACGGGTGAGTGGTGACTCTCTCTTCTCTGTGCAGGCTGTGTGAGAGGGACCCCTATTTTTTTTTTTTTCGGTTGGAACAACAAGCCAGAGAGTATGTGCTGGAGATGAAAGTCCGTTTTTTTTTTTTTCTGTCGGCTGCATCCAAAGTGAAAGCGCCGTCCGCCCTGCAGGGCCCTCCGCAGGCACACCAGTTCATCTCTCTTCTTCTCGAGGAGTATGGCGCCCTCTGCCAGGCAGCGCGCACCATCAGCACCTTCCTCGGCACGCTGGTAAGGGCGAAGGCTGCCGTTCCTGGTTTTTTTTTTTTTAACTAAGAGGACAGCTGTGGTCGGGTGGAGTCGTGCGGCTTGTATGTTGGTCTCGTGCGCCGCCACCGTCCCCTCCTTTGCGGTGTTCAGGCACTAAGGAGAGAACCTTTTTTTTTTTTTCTTTCTCTTCTCTCTGGACTTTGCTGTGGGATGAAAGTGTTGCGTGGTTTTTTTTTTTTTAAATACAGTTTGGAGACCTTGAGGCCTAGGGAGCAAGAGATGGGGACTTTTTTTTTTTTTGACCTGTGTGTGCATTAATAGGGAGAAGAAAGAGAAATGGTTTCTGTTTTTTTTTTTTTTCTCTGTTGTCAGTGTGCACACGCAGAGCATGACTCTCATAGAGAGCATTTTTTTTTTTTTCTGTGGCTTTCAGTCATCGATTCCACAGTCCATCCCTGGGTTAAGGATTTTTTTTTTTTTTCCGATAAGAACCCACCCCTACCCCCATCCCCGTCTGGTGGTCCTAATTTTTTTTTTTTTCAGGTGTGTTCTTAAGGGTCTCTGACCACCTCACAAGGTAAGTTAGCTTTTTTTTTTTTTAGGAGGCATGTGGTAGAATCACAGCTCCTGGAATCCAGCCAAGCTGGGCATCAGAAGCTTCAGTCAGCCCTATCAGCCAATGCAACTGCTGGTTGCAGGGAGACCATTTTTTTTTTTTTTCCAGTCATTCATGCTTTCCAGACTGTTAGAAAAATACCATTTAGCTGTTTTTTTTTTTTTTTGTTTGCCATTACCTAAAATTGTGTTATTAAATGATACTCCATTGGGCTAGTTTCGGGTACTTTCTTACTGGTAAAACTACATTTTGAAACAAATATAGTACCAGTTTTTTTTTTTTTTTTAAATGTAATGGTCTTAATGTGATTCTAAAGTTGATAGACCTTCTCTTTTTTTTTTTTTACAGACACACAATTTTGCAAGTAATTTCGGCGGGGGTGGGGGTGGGATTTTTTTTTTTTTGAACTTCCTCAGGCATCCCTGCAGTAGACCTTGCCATGCCGGTAAGTGACTCCCGACAGCCTTGAGGAAAGCACGCATTGTGAGAAAAGGAGCCACTGAGTTGGGAGGGACAGCTATCTCTGCTTCAAGATGAGATTGTGCGATTGAATGCCCGTGTCCCGAGCAGGGCCAGGCGGGCCTCCGGTGCCTCGTTCCTTCATGCCACATCTTACGCGGCTCTCCCTCTTTTTTTTTTTTTTTCTGAAAGTACCTACTCTTCAGAAGTTCACATCCAGCGCCACCTCCTCTGGGGCGGGACCCTTGGACCTTCCCAAGTCTGCCGGGAGAGGAGTCGGCCAAGGTGAAGAGCGGCTCCTGGCTGGCCGGACCTCGTGCGGAGCAGTGAAGAGCATGACGGCTGTGCCCCAGGCGGCGCTTCTGCCCAGGTCCTCCTCAGGCAGTTCGAGTGGAACACGGTTTTTGAAGCATTTTTTTTTTTTTTTTGACCCCGCTTATTGGAGCAAATTCCTAGCAATTGATGTAGAAATTTTTTTTTTTTTTTTGGAAAAAACTCGTAAACACTAAGAACAAAATATAGTTGTTTCTTCTTTTTTTTTTTTTACTTGCATTATACACAGAGGTGCTCAGTTTGGTTTCCAGTGGTACAGCAGACGAGACGCCCTGAACTCCTCCTCCCTTCTTGGGAAATTACTGGGTAACATAAACTGTTTTTTTTTTTTTCCTTTTACAGCACATTGCTGAGGTGGCATGAAAGGCAAGAAGCCTTATTTTTTTTTTTTTAACTGAAAGCTGGAATCCGGAGAAATTCGTGTGCTCCAAAGCCAACATTTTTTTTTTTTTCTTCTAATCCTGGGAGACAGGAGGTACAGCCTAAGTCCCATCCTGGGTGGCATCGGCACAGGGTGCTGGGCCCACAGATGGCCACCTCATCAGTGTGAGGGTGAAGGAGAGGCCCTAGCCCTGGAGAGACAGCAAGGGCATGTGCCCGTTGTGATCTTGGGGTAGGCTTTTTTTTTTTTTAGCCTCCCAGAAATTTTGTCATTATGGGCCAACTGCCACCTAGGTTTGTGGTCTCAACAAGTGCTATTGGTGGGACGTGAAAAACTCCCAAGCCTGCAAGTTACTTTTTTTTTTTTTTTTCTGTCAGTCAGTCAGGCAACACACAGATGGTGGGCTTGGCATCATCTTTTTTTTTTTTTTTACCCTGTCAGGTCACAAAAGCTAACCATGATTTCTTATTTTTATACCGTCTGTATAAAAATTTCCCAGTTACCTTAAAGATCTCTCGTTTATTGTTGGAGTGTTCAAACCAAGATCCAACAAGGTTCACAAAGTTATAACAACATCCTTTCAGGCCCACCCAGTGATTTTTTTTTTTTTAAGAATGAACAGAGCTAAGTTAAGATACAGTTAAAGTCATTATCTCATTTTTTTTTTTTTCAACATTTTTGGACTTGGGGGCCCTTTAAACTTAGAAACTGTGGACTTTTTTTTTTTTTTGTGTGTGTAGATTTAATCAATATTTGCTGTGTTGAAACTAAGAAATTTAAAACTATTAAATACTTTTAAAATGAGCCCATTACATAACATAAATAGCACATATTTTTTTTTTTTTTTTTTTTTTTTTTAAAGATTTTATTTATTTATTCATGGGAGAGAGAGAGAGATTTTTTTTTTTTTAAGCAGAGGGAGAAGCAGGCTCCCAAGGAGCAGGGAGCCCGATGCGGTTTTTTTTTTTTTGACCCTGGGATCATGACCTGAGCTGAGGGCAGACACTTAACGACTGAGCCACCCAGGCGCCCCAAAAAAGAACTTTCCAAAACATTATTTAGTAACAAAAGGGGCATTTTTTTTTTTTTTCCAATCTCCTTAGTTTCTGGCTCAATAGAGGACACGTAGATTCTCATTTTTTTTTTTTTTCTTAGTCTGTTGTCATAGGTTGCTTTGGCTGAAGTTACTGAAGAAAATTCTGCCTCACCCAGATACATATTTGGTAAAGGGAAGAATATCTCAATAGCCTTTTCAGCTTTTTTTTTTTTTTACGCCAGAGCCCGAGTGCTTCTTAACAGTTAGTTGCAGCGTAGAATTTTTTTTTTTTTTGCTGAGCTGACCGCACTCTGTCCATCAGAACCAGTGGTGTAGCCCACACATTGAATGGATCTGCCCACATGTGGTTTTCTAGCATCGTATGTTGGTCATTTTGAGTATTTTTTTTTTTTTAGTAATTTAGTGCAGATCTTCCTGATGATATTCAGTATAAAAAATGATTTTTTTTTTTTTCACCACTGATCCTCGTCAGAACAGAGAAGCCTCAGGGCCACAGTAGCAGATTCAAGTTTTCCAAAATTCAAATTTTTGCTTAAAAGCTCAGATTTTATGATTGGCCATTTTTTTTTTTTTTTGTTTTCCTTAAAGCAGCAGATTGGCTTGCTGCACAAACCCTGCTAATTCTCTGCCTCCTCATCCGGCGTCTCTGACTCTGCAGAACCCGTGGAGTACATTTAGACTTTTTTTTTTTTTTTAAAAACATGACTTTCATGGGAAATGCACGTGTGGGTTTATTCTACACTGCCCTGGGGATCAAACAGGATGAGAGGGTCACATTTTAAAAATGTAAGTATTAAAATAGAATTGGGACTACACCTAGCTTGTGCTTCCCACCGTCTGGGAAATGTCCTGCCAGGGCTTTTTTTTTTTTTTAATCTGCATTTCCATCCATAAGGACAGAAGCATCTTGAATATCCTGGTTTTTTTTTTTTTTGTGTTCTAGAACCTGATTGTAAACACCTCCTCTTTCTCCTTCCAGATTTTTTTTTTTTTTTTTGCGGTTCAATGTAAGAAGTAAAACTAGTTTGGATAGAAAAGCCTAAGCTTGAGTCATTGGTGAGCTTGTTATCCGTGTCTGTAGCTCAGGCAGCACTGAGTCTCAGCCATGCTCACGCGCAGGCCCCACCTCTCCTAGCAGCTGTGAGTGCACGTCCCCCCGCTTTTTTTTTTTTTTGTCCCCGCGGCCCTGGGCCCATCATTCAGCCTCTGTAGGCTTTCTGTTTTTTTTTTTTTGCCTGGAGCACCCAGTTCAGGGTTGTCGAGGGCGCTAGTGAGATGACTTTTTTTTTTTTTAAGGACAGTGCCTGGCCTGCAGGAAGCACTTTGTTGCTAACACACGTTGTTTTCCCAAGTTGATTTTAGGCTGGGAAATGAGTTTGGGGTCTGCTGTTTCTCTTGCATTTTTTTTTTTTTAGTATGATTTCAGATTTCATTAAAAAAAATGCTGAACATCTTCCTAAGTCAACCTTCACCCAGTTACCTGTAGTAACATGGCCCGCAAAAGCCAGAGCTATGTCCCATTTTTTTTTTTTTGCAGGCAGGCAGGGACCACTCGCCCCAGAGGTTTATGGTGGAGCCCAGGCAAGCCCTCAGCTCTCCCGAGCCACTCCCCCAGAACCCTCCCTCAGCTGGTGGGGGGATTTTTTTTTTTTTTGCGTTAGCTCCTGCATCTTCTTTGTTGTAGAGACAAATCATAAATGTTTTTTTTTTTTTCTCCTCTGTCCCCTGGTGACTCCTGGAGAGCAGGGGCCTCCTGGCTTCGACTTTGTTTCCCTGTACCTGGCCCAGTGCCTGCACAGAGTGGTCTGTGCTGACGTCTGTTTTTTTTTTTTTGTTCGACGTGTCGTCTGTGGCCACGTCCTTAGTACGTTCTTCGGCAATTTTTTTTTTTTTGAAATCGGGTGGAGTTTAGTAGCTCCCTGGCCAGCTTTCCTGTATCGTTTTTTTTTTTTTAGAGGTGCTGAAGTGCACATCTGGGGGAGTGAGAGCAAGCTCTGGAATTTTTTTTTTTTTTGAGGGTTTGAGGTTCTCTGCAGGTGTCACAGGTTCCTTTCGGGGCCTTTTTTTTTTTTTAGGGCGTGAGCAGAGGCCTGCAGGTGGAAGGGCTGGCATCCGTTTATTTTTTTTTTTTTTCGCTGGTGTGCCTTCAGCTCTGTCTCCCTGGTTGTGCTCAGGAACAGTTTTTTTTTTTTTTTTTTTTTTTTTTTTTCTAAGTAGGCTCCATTTTTTGACAGAGAGAGACAGCGAGAGAGGAAACACAAGCAGGGGGAGTGGGAGAGGGAGAAGCAGGCTTCCCGCGGAGCAGGGAGCCCGACGCGGGGCTCAATCCCAGGACCCTGGGATCATGACCTGAGCCGAAGGCAGACGCTTAAGGACTGAGCCACCCAGGCACCCCCAGGGGATGCTCATTTTAACTCGTTCTCTCAGCCCCCATGCCAGCCAGTTATCAGGAAAAACAGTGGAGTCTTCGTGTGTAGATTGTTTACTAACATCTGCAGGCGTGATCATGTGGATTCACTTGAGCTAAATTATAAAAGTAGGGCGCCAGGGTGGCTTAGTTGGTTAAGCTACTGCCTTCGGCTCAGGTCATGATCTCAGGGTCCTGGGATCAAGCCCCGCATTGGGCTCCCTGCTCGGCGGGAAGCCTGCTTCTCCCTCTCCCACTCCCCCTGCTTGTGTTCCCTCTCTCGCTGTCTCTCTCTCTGTCAAATAAATAAAATCTAAAAAAAAAAAAATTAGGGCGCCTGGGTGGCTCAGTTGGTTAAGCGACTGCCTTCGGCTCAGGTCATGATCCTGGAGTCCTGGGATCGAGTCCCACATCGGGCTCCCTGCTCAGCGGGGAGTCTGCATCTCCCTCTGACCCCCCCCTCATGCTCTCTCTCAAATAAATAAATAAAATCTTTAAAAAATAATTAAATAAGTAAATAATAAATTATAAAAGTAGTCACCACGAGTAATCCATCTCATGGAGTATTGCTATCTAATGTTAAGCAGTTCCTCCAGTTGTCAGTGGTTTAAGGAAGGAGCACGTACCCAAGGGTGTAAGATGACTGAAGTACAGGGAGCCCTACAGCACCGCGCAGCTTCCGGGTGGACGTGTGGAGTCCCACATGCATATGCTTGTGGCAAGATCTGTGCTTAGGAAAGGTGCCCTCTCTATCCTGGTCACCTTGTATTGAGGGCAAATGGGTGTTTCTTTTGATGTCACTCTCTGTGATGGCCAGGACAGTCCCAAATGTTTAAAAGCTATCTAAAGTAACTGATGAGTTTGCTTTTGTGTATTAGGGAGAGGGAAGACCTGACCTTTCATGGCATATCGCTAGTGGAGAAATGATTTGCATCCACCAGAATGGGAGATTTCTCAAGATAGGCGAGAAAGTGATTGCCCTTTGACATCAGAGATTTGTATGCATTTAAATTGTTTGCAGAGTAGGGCTTCCAGTGCATTTTGGAAGCACAGTGTAAGGAATGACCATCAAATGCGTGCATTTCTTTCTCTCTCTCTGTCGCTTTGTTTGTGTGTGTCTTACCCCCTTTCTGTGTGTGAGGGATTTAGAAGGGAGGAGAGGTGGGGTCCCGTGTGCGTGTGGCCAGAGGTCTGCATCAGGGCGTCTTCTGGAAGTACTGGGAGCGGCGACCCCTTGTCCGCAGAATGTGCTGGGCCTGCAAAGAGGGATGGAGCGGGCAGATCCTTCTGGGGAGTTTTTAGTCTTCATCAATTCAGTACATCTTCCATTTATTTATTTATTTTTTTAACTAGGAAAATGAACACTTGAAAAAGTTCCAGGTGACATGGGAACTGCATAATAAGCATCTGTTTGAAAATCTGGTCTTTTCGGAGCCACTTCTCCAGAGCAACTTGCCAGCACTGGTGTCGCAGATCAGGTATCTGGTCTTCATCTGCACATGTCTCTGTGGTGTGACAGCACGGTCCTTCTCCCTGTGGGGTAGCATATGTGTGTCGGAACCCCACCGCAGTGTGGAAGTTCTTGCTCAGGGAACAGTATCGCTTGGGCGGAAACTCAAAATCCCAAGGGTACTACAGTTAAACTTCAACAAACTCAGTAGTAATGCCACTAAGATTTAACACCACAAATTCCTTGTGAATAAGGAAAAGCTGTGGTAAACATAGAGTTTTACTTTGACGAGACTCAGGCTTGGCCGGACGGCTGTGGCACTCAGGTGTGCAGGGGAGATGGGGAGGGGGTGTCGGAGGAGGGGGGACGGCTCCAGAACGGACCTGACGGTGCCACGGGGGCTCCTGGGCACTGAGCACAGGGATTCGTGTCTCTCAAACATTCCCTCAGTGCCTCTGTTCACGGCTTGGTCGCTTCTTAGTGGTGTGGAGTATCCCTGGGGCTTCTGCACGTGTGCCAGGACAGGTGGTGCCAAGCACAGTACTCAGGACGTCTGCCCTGCTGGCGGGTGGAGGACACCCGGCTGGGGGTGGGTCGACTCCGACACGACTCCACCGGGAGGAGGCTCCTTGGGTCTGCGGTCGCCATGCGCTGCTGAGCCAGGCGCCCGCTTCCACAGTTCTGCTACGTGGTGCTTCTGTTCCCGTGGACTTACCGCGTAGGAACAGAGTCTGGTACTAGAGATGCTTCATAGCAGCACAGACCATGGTCATCTCTATTTAAATGTCCATGCTGTTGTTTATTTGGACCAGATTCACAAAGAAGGGAAATTATTTTGAAGTAAATAAATTATGCTTATAGTTGACTTCCACACCACTTTGTTTTCTCTTGAAACCCATGTATCAACCTAGTCTTCATTTCCTGTATTCCTGAATCTTATCTGAGGGGTCAGAACTGTTCCCACTTCACACCCTCCCCTCTGGAGAAGCAGTAACCTGACAGCAGTTGGTTAAAGGTGATGGGGGCAGAGAGACCAGAACAAGGTGTCGTGTGGGTGTGGCCAGTGCCCTGCTTGGCTCCTGACCCTCCCGGCATCCCCTCCCCCACAGCCTGCTCCTGCCTACCCTTTTCCTCTGTGTCCAGTCTGAAAGCATCTGGCATGTTCCATGGTGGGACATGGGGACTTGAGTGTCCTGACTTCCACCTCCACTGAAGAAAGGGTCAGGAAAGTATTCAAAGTCATGAGTTTGAAATGCAGAACATGGTTTTGTCCCTAGTCATTGATGTTTAACATCCACCAAAAGGCACTTTTTTTGGAGGGAAAAAAAAGTGCATCTTGGGAAGGTGGGGGTTCTTACAGCAAGATTCTAGGGCCTTGTACTTTCTTTTTTTGGTGAGCCAGTTAGTTTGATGGGCCTGTCATCAACTGGGGGTACGTGACAGGGACCTGAAATGTATCCTGAAACTCCATTCTTGGCTGTGCGTTAGTTCCAGATTGATTTTTTCCTCCCTCCCTTCTTTCTTCCCTCCCTCCCTCCCTTTCTAGATTATTTATTTGAGAGAGAGCTCGAGGGAGAGGGGCAGAGGGCGAGATTCTTCAGCAGACTTCGCACTGAGTGTGGAGCCTGGCGTGGGGCTTGATCTCACACCCCTGAGATCAAGAGTTGGATGCTCAACCGACTGAGCCACCCAGGCGCCCCTAGTTCTGGGTTTCTTAATCACTCATTGCAAATGATGGTCAGATTCCAAAAGATTGGCAGCGTTTTAATCTTGCATGTTAATTCGGGGGTCAAGCTGAAGTAGTGGTCTCGGGGACAGACCTGGGGAGGAGGCAAGCAGAGCATTCCCAAGGGGAGCTGGTGGCACTGGAAGGGACAGTCCCTTTGGGTCCCTGGCGGATCCCCTTGTCGGACCCGACAGTAGTTCAGGTCTGTGCTTCTAGTGTACAGATATCCACGGAACAACTTGTGGAAGTTTTGGGACAAGTTATGTACAAATACCAGCCCCTAAAGTGATGGTTGCATCTGTGGCACATAAACTCTCTAGCTGGGAGTATTTTAATATTGAACCCTGGTCTCTGGCCCTGTGTTTGTTTAACTTTATTATTAAAGTAAAATATAGGTAGAGAAGATGACGCAGAGCAGACGTGCAGCTGAAGGACTTGTTAGCAGAGAGCGTGGCCGTGGCCCTGGGAAGTCCGTTCCTCCTGCGTGTGGCCTCCAAGCCCAGACTCCTCTGCTGGAGCTGCCACGGCGGACCCACTCCTTCCTTGTTTATTCTCCTGTTACTCAAGTGTGCCTTTCCATAGGCTTGCCTGCTTTTTCTTTTGATGTATCTTTTGTGGGGGGTTTTTTGTTGTTGTTTTTTGTTGTTTTTTTTAATACAAATAATCTACATGAGGTTGACCTTATGTAAAGGAACTTAGTTCAGGGAAGTATTTCTCCTTTTTTTAAACACCTTTGCCAAGATATAATTTACATACCATTACAGTTCACTCATTTAAAGTGTACAAATCGATGGCTGTTGGTATATTACATTACTAATTTTTGAAAACTGTGGTAAACTATAACATGAAACTTGCCATTTTAACCACATTTAACTGTACAATTCAGTAGGATTAATTACATTCATAGTGTTGAGTAACTATCACCACTGTCTGTTTCCAAAACTTTCCTCATCACCCCAGACAGAGACTCTCACAGTGAAGCATCGACTCTCACCCTTTCTTTTCCCCGTGTCTCTTGTAATTCTTCAACCTGCAGGCTCCCACCCCACCCTTTTTCCCTTTTACAATTTACCTGTTGGAGAACCTGAGCCGTAGGCCCTGCAGCGAGGCCCGGGGTCTGGGCCCTGTGGCGTGTGCGCTCAGGGAGCGCCACACGGGCTTTCTGTCTGTGCTGCCTGAGAACTGGTGGAGGGTTCAGAAGCTTTGTCAGACTCGTGTCCATGCCTGTGGCAAGTCCAGGAGCCTCACTGTCTGCTTGTTTGTTGTTGTGGGTATTATTAGCGATTGCCCAACTGATTTTTATTTTAAATATATGAAATTGTTAGGGAGATGTTGAATTAGGCTTGTGAATAAACTTGCCAAAACTGACTCTATTTCATTCTCCTTATGTTGCACATGCACACTATTTGTAGTAGACGTTACCGTGAGGATCTGTCCACGGCGCAACTGTGTGTTTACAGAGTGAATATTTAGACAGTAACCTGTTTGCTGAACCACTTAGGTCGTGCGACCGTGAGGACATTCCTTGTTTTCTGTCTGGATTCCAGCCCAGGTCGGCTTGAATGTAAGCCCTTTGCCTGCACATTGTGCTCTGATCACCCCATCAAAGACGTCCCAGGACCCCTGGCTGCTTTGCTCTCCATTAGCTCAAAATGGAACTTGGTTCCCGGTGTAGGAGAGCAGTTCTCACTTCCAGCAGAAGGGGAAGAGGTGTGTGTGCCAGGCAGATGCCGGTCCCCCTTAACATCCCTGTTTTCCAAGTGGTACAAGAGGGACGGGGTGGCGTTATGTAGAAGGCAGGCTTTGCGTGAAGCATGGGAATCCATCTGTAATGAGCAAGGTTGTGGAAGCAGGAATGGGGAGAAAGCGTCTGCTCTGGGGGCTGCTGAGCAGCAAGACAGCAGCCTGTGTTCTCAGGCCCAACGGCCACCCAGTGGCTGTGCAGAGCCCAGAGCAGCCTCAGAGTCGCTGGATTCTGCATCTTGAGGAGTTTTGTATCCTGAGGGGCAGAAACAGCCTTAGAAGGACAGCTTTGGTGTTTGAGAGAGCCTCAGTCACTGTGTGGGTCAGTATCGAGTTCTTTCCTGTCTCTGGCCTCCCCCAAACACCTATTCGGTTAGGCCTGGCTTCTGCCTGCTTTCTCCTTGGCGTGGATTTCACAGTTGGACATGTGTGCCAATAACTTCAGCAGCTGTGAGTTCATTTGCAGGTTCTCCGTTGGACACAATAGTCACAGGTGGGATCCACCCACAGGTGGAGACGGGGGAAAGCCATATGTGCCCGTTGAAAGGGTCCTAATTTTAAAATTACCGTATTGTATATATTTACTATAAAATTATTAGACTGTGATGCAATGAAACTCTGAAAATACAGAAAATCGTGAAGAGAAATACGTACTGTAAACAATTCGGTGCTGCTTCTAGATTTTTTTTCTTATGTCCACCCCCACACACATCTTTAAAACATGATGCCATAGTCATCATATCTTTACTTAACATGGGCATAGTTTATTTCAAAGCACGTGTGTAAGTAAAGTATACGTGAATGAAGAGATGTAATTGTAAGCGTCATAATAGGCACCTAGTTGTCTGGAATCCCTTTGTCTAGATGTGCCATAAAATATCTTATTGATCCCCATGTGTAGCTTCCAGTGTTTTTATGTTGACACTGATGATCATTCCTGCACGTTGCCTTTTTGCCCTTGAGTGACTGTAAATGTTGTCTTGATTTAGAAATTTCTTGTCAAGATGCCTTTATTACAGTTGTTTTGGTTCCAGCATTAATGTATTTAGATATTCAGAAAATGAGCAGTTTCTGATGACATGTTTGTGTGTTCACCCTATTTGGCTTTCTGCTCTCCCCAGGCCACCCCCTGTCCCATAGTCTCTTTCCCAGAAGCCTAGGTGTTTTCCTCATTGTTTACTGTATGTGTGTCTTGTTTTCGGTTCATTTCCTCATTTGCCGTCTTACCAATTTTCTTAACAAGAAATAATGTAGAATAAATAAAACTATAAAGTATATTTCTTTCATTGGATCAAATTTTCTGTTTTACTTAATTTGAAAACAAGTCCAAGTTTTGTATTTCTCATTAAATGTTGTGTTTTCTCTGGGTCAGTGTATTTCAATGGGGAAAAATAGGTTACGACTCCACATTCAGTCAAGTGAACTGCTAGGCCTTATTTATTTATTTGTGTAGAGAGGGAGTTGAGGGAGGGGCGGAGGCTAGCAGACTCCCCGCCGAGCGCAGAGCCCGATGCGGGGGTGTGATCTCCTGAGCCAGAGATCAGGACTGGAGCTGACACCAAGAGTCAGACAGTTAACTGGCTGAGCCACCCAGGCGCCCCAAGGCCTTAGTCTTACAGAACAGTCTTATTCACCACTAGTTTTTTTTTCTTTGGAGCTCTTACTTCTTCGAGCTTCTCCTTTATGCCAGATTCTGCTCTGGGGTGCCTTGCATATGTGTTTGCTAATCCCTCGCAGCAGCCTTGTGTGGTGTGTGGTGGTGTGCCACTCGTCACATTGGGAAAGGAGGTGACAAGCAAGCAGACCCCTTTCTTTTGCTGAAATGCCCCTCTCCCTAGGCTGGGAACCACGACACATGACACGTGCAACGAGGACACGTACAGCACCTTGCTGCAGCGGTACCAGCGCTCCGAAGAGGAGTTGCGCAGGGTGGCCGAGGAGTGGCTGGAGTGCCAGCAAAGGATCGATGCCTACGTCGACGAGCAGGTGCGTGTGTGTCACCGGGACCTGCCGTGGGTAAGGCACGTGGGCCAGGGTGACGGGGGCGGTTGCAGCTGGGAGGAGTCTGGTCACTGATTTCCCAGAGGGAACTGAAGCCCTGCGGTACCGTGGTGGTCTTCACCCAGCTATGCCACCTGGGGGTGGCAGCAGCTGTTCATTGGGTCAGCATTAACCTGGCCACACCCAGTGTCACCTGCGTAGGCTGCCACCTGGCTTATTGTCACCTGCAAGAGCTTATGGGGCCTTGGGGAGCTGCTGAGTCGTATAGTTTCAGGAACCTTTCACGGAATGCTCTGCTGCTCAGAGCCCCTTCTCTGTCTCTAACAGTCTAGAGAGGGAGCGCAGACAGAACATGGTTGGTTGTGCTTGGCAGGTGGCTAACAGGGATGGAGGAAGGCCCAAGAAGGCAGGGCGCTCCTGTTGGAGTTGGGGCCTGAAGGGCAGGTGCAGCTTGTCAGCAAGAGCCTCTTGGGGACACAGAGCAGGACTTCCAGAGCGCATCCCAGCCTGCCTGCCTGCCTGCCTTTCTAAAACCACGGGAGGGTGGGGCAGAGGAGGAGGTATTCACAACAGCCCTTTTCAAGGTAACAGGGTATAAGGAGTAATAAGGGAGCACTGACAGCTCTGTACTATACTTTTTTTTTTTTTAAAGATTATTATTTTTTTTAAAGATTTTATTTATTTATTTTGACAGAGAGAGAGAGAAAGAGCAAGAGAGGGAACACAAGCAGGGGGAGCGGGGAGCCGAATGTGGGGCTCAATCCCAGGACCCTGAGATCATGACCTGAGCCGAAGGCAGATGCTTAATGACTGAGCCACCCAGGCGCCCCTTATTTGTTTATTTTAGAAGAGAGCACGGGGATGGAGGCAGTGGGAGAGAGAATCTCAAGCAGACTTTGCACTGAGCTCAGAGCCTGACGTGGGGCTTGATCCCACAACCCTGAGATCATGACCTGAGCTGATGCCAAGAGTTGAATGCTTAACTGATAGTGCCACCCAGGCGCCCCTCTGTATTATACTTTTGAGACTCTGGGATTTGGGTCAGGGGTGTCCGCATCCTGCCCTACTGCAGACCCTGTGGACTCTTTCTCATTTCACTTTATAGGTATGATGGATATAGAGGCAATTCTAGTTTCAGAAATTCTTTCTTTGTTTCTCCAGTTGAACTGGGACTAAACACATAAATGCCCCAAGACAACTCTTAGAAGAAAGGAAAGACTGAGTGAGACTTTGCTAAAATTGAGAAAACCTTTGGGAATAGTAATTTCTTGATGTATTTGTACCTGAAGTAAATGTCTGTTTAGGAATATAATACAGTGTTATCACTGCTATTTTGACGAAAATGGGTTATGTTTAAAAATAACAGTATACTTGTTTTCTCTAGGAAGGAAAATACAGTCTTACTTTAAAAAGTGAAGCTGAAATTAAATTTATTTCTTTAAAAAGTACATGTTCTTACAACTCTAAATGTTTACAATAAAAAGCAGGAAAGATTTTAGATCAGCAGCCTAACTTGGCAACTTTTAAGGATCTAGGGAAAAAAGACAAACTAAATTCAAAGCTAGAAGGAAAGAAATAATAAAGATTAGAGGAGATCAACAAATGAGAGAATAGAGGAAAATCATTGAAACCAAAAGTTGGTTCATTAAGATCATCCAAGTTGACAAACCTTTAGCTATATGGGCTAAGAAAAAAAAGAGACTCCGATTCCTAAAGTCAGAAAAGAAGTGGGAACATTATTACCGATTCTACAGAAATAAAAAGGATTGTCAGTCCTGTGAAGAGTTGTACACCAACAAATAGATAAGTGGACAAATTCCTGGAAACACAGAACTTAGCAAGACTACATCACGGAGACACAGAAAGTCTGAATAGACCTACGACTAGTAAGGAGACTGAATCAGTAATCAGAAATCTCCCAACAGAGCAAAGCCCTGGACCTGACAGCTTCACAGGTGAATTCTACCAAACATTTAAAGAAGAATTAACACCAGTCCTTCCCAAACTTTTCCCAGAAATTGAAGGGGAGAGAAACTTCCCAACTCATTCTTTGGGGCCAGCCTTACCCTGATACCAAAGTCAGAGAAATTTTAAGAAAAGAAAACTATAGACTACCATCCATGATGAACACAGATGCAAAAATCCTCAACAAAATACTAATTGTATCAATCAAAACAGCGTGGTGTTGACATAAAGATAGGCCCTCTCATGTGGTCACATGATGCCCAGCAAGAGTGCCAGGACCACTCAAAGGGGAAAGGGCAGTCTTGTCAACAAACTGTGCGGTGGAAACTGCACATCCCCATGCAAAAGATCGACACTGGAGCCCTTCCTCACACCATATGCAGAAATTAACTCAGGGTGGAAAAGGACCGAAATGGAAGACTAAAAATATGAAAGAACCTTAAAGACATTACTCTCAGTGAACTAAACCAGCCACAAAAGGACACGTATTGCAGAACTCCACTGATAGGAGGTACCTACAGTCGTCAGATGCCTAGAGACAGAAAGTGTAACTCATGGGGACAGGGTTTCAGTTGGGGATGATGAGAAAGTTCTGGGGAGGGCGCCTGGGTGGCTCAGTTAGTTAAGCGACTGCCTTCGGCTCAGGTCATGATCCTGGAGTCCCGGGATCGAGTCCCACCATCGGCCTCCCTGCTCAGCAGGGAGTCTGCTTCTCCCTCTGACCCTCTTCCCTCTCGTGCTCTCTATCTCTCATTCTCTCTCTCTCAAATAAATAAAATCTTTAAAAAATAATAATAATAATAATAATAATAAATAGTTCTGGGGAGGGATGGTAGGGATGTTTGCACGATGATGTGAATGTACTTAATACCACTGCACTGTACACTTAAAAATGGTGAAGATAGTGGGGCACCTGGGTGGCTCAGTCAGTTAAGCATCTGCCTTCTGCTCAGGTCATGATCTTGGGGTCCTGGGATCGAGCCCCACATCAGGCTCCCTGCTCAGTGGGGAGTCTGCTTCTCCCTCTCCCTCTGCTGCTCCTCTTGCTGTGCTCTCTCTCTCTCTCAAATGAATAAATAAAATCCTTTAAAAAAATGGTTAAGATGGTAAATTTTATGTTACGTGTATTTTACCACAATAAGAAAAAGCAAAAAAGAGGTCTTTTTTTTCCCCCACAAAGAAAAAAAACCATCGTCCTTACTAAAGCAACCAGAAAATGTATTATTTTCACTCACCTGTCAAGAAATCATGATGCCATTAATACAAATTAAGGAAACTGAGCAATTTCAGCAGCATCCAGAGGGCACCAGTCATTCTGGAATCCTTGGGATGGACATCAGTCACTTCGAATCTAATAGTTTGGAAATTATTAGTAATTCCAAGGTTTCAAAACATCTGTAAATAATTTGAGTATTCATAAATAAGTATGGACAGTGGGACATGGGTGACAGCTTTGAGATCACTTGTTTTTGCTTGCTTTTTAAAATGTATCCTTTATTTTTTTGACACATACCTAAGCCTGCAGGCACCCAAGTGTTCGGAAAAATTATCCCAGAGGATGTTGGAGGGGTGGTCAAAGAGGACGTTTCTGTTGCTGTTGTTAGCTATCAAACAGCTCTGGACTGGGTTCTGTACTAAAAGAAATTACTACCTTTCCTAATATCTAGTTCATTGAAAATCTTTTGTTTTTTAAGATTTTATTTTATTTGGGGCGCCTGGGTGGCTCAGTTGGTTAAGCGTCTGCCTTCGGTTCAGGTCGTGATCCCAGGGTCCTAGGATCGAGTCCCACATCGGGCTCCCTGCTCGGGGGGGTCTGCTTCGTCTTCTCACTCTTCCTCTGTCTCTCTCCCTCTCAAATAAATAAATCTTTAAAAAAATATTTCCTGTTATATAAATTAAAAAAAAAAAAAGATCTTATTTTAAGTGGGCTCCATGCCCAGCCCACGTGGAGCCCAGTATGGGGCTTGAACCCACAACCCCAAGATCAAGACCTGAGCTGAGATCAAGAATTGCTCACCTGATGGAGCCACCCAGGTGCACCCCACTCCAAAATCATTTTTTAAACGTGTGACAGTAATTGCTGCTTCTAAGAGGAAAATTTTTTCCTGAAAGCGGCAGACATACATGACATGACGTAAAGGGGGAGCTCGCACCAGCATTGAGTCTTCCCATCCCAGAAGATGGTGCACATTTCTGTGTTTAGGTCGTGTTTTCTGTTCTGATGGTTTTATAGTTTGTGCGAATCCCATCAAGTTTATACCCAGGGCTTCTGGGGTTGGGGCCGTCTGGCTGTTGGCATTCCACCCAGTGCCCTTAATGACACCGCAGAAGTTTCTCAGTCAGCTGCCTCGAAGTTTCTAGAAGCCACGTCTCCTACGAGTAATAGTTTTGTCTCACCTTCTCTGGCATCTGCAGTTCGTTTGGCTTCGGTTAGAGCCTTCAGCTCGTCACGATTGAGCGTGGCTGGTAGCACCGTTTGTTGCTCTGGCTTCATGGGGACAGCTGTGCATGCTTCCCTGAAGTCACATGCCTCCCCTGAGTACTGGTGAGTTTTTAGCAAATTAATGAAGTTTCCTTTTTTCTAGCTTATTTAAGTTATGATTTTTGTAAAAAACAGGAATAGGTATTGAGTTTGATTATATGGTGAGACATGCTTACTTTCCTGGGATTAAAGCCTACTAGGTTATGATCTATATTCTGTTAACCCATTATTAGATTTAAGTAGCTAATATTTTATTTATGATTTTTGGGTTTGTATTCTGAGGCATCATTGAGTGTTTGTCTTTGAGGCCTTGTCTGTTTTGTATGAAAGTTATGCTAGTCCCATAGAATGCATTGAGAAAATTCCCATGTTTTTTTTTTTAATTTTCAGAATAGTTTAAATTTTCTGTTCCATAAAGGGTTTGATAGAACCCACCCTAAAACCTGGGACGTGATTTATTTTTGCAGGGAGGAGGAACGAGGACCGTGGGTCTTGTACCATCTTTTCAATTCACATTACACTTTGCATCTGTTTTGCGGTTTCTCCTTCTTGAGTGAGTTCCACAAATTGATGTTTGCCTAGGAGATTGTCCACATGGTGTAGACAGGGGATGACGAGCTTGTGCTCAGAGGCGAGCCATCAAAGGGGCGGGGGGGGAACGGTGGCTGCAGGAGAGCTGCTGTGCTCCCCTGGCCTGCCTCCCTGGCCCACTTTGCCAAGAGAGCACCCTCTGCACCAAAAGGAGAAATGCCCTGCCCTCGACCAGGAGGGCAGCAAAGGGCAGAGTGCCTCAGAGCTACAGAGAGGTCCACAGAAGCCAAAGTCTGGGCTGTTCGGCGAAATCTCAAGAGCTTTTTAATGTTGACTCAGCTATTAAAACTCATTGGGCAGGCCCAGCAGAATAGCCCGTGAGCCCCTCCTCACAGCGTTTCTGTGGAGATGAAAGTCTACATTGTCCAGATACTTCCTCTTGGGGTTTAAAGGAAACCCCCTCGGCCTGTGTCTGTCCTGTATCTCATGCCCACTTTTTCCGTGGGGCCTTTTCTTCCCTTGGTCAGCCTGGGAGGGGCTCTGGAGAACCAGTGTTTTGGGGTTTATTGAGCACATTTGCTTCTTTATTTTCCCAATAATTTCTGCTTTTACTTTAATTTCTTCCTGCTTTATTGGTTTCTCATTTTGTTTTGTTTCTTTGGCTTCTCACGTGGAACACATACTTCTCAGTCTTCTGCTCTGTGGTGTTCTCTCGTAAGGTCACTGAAGCCTGTTCATTTTCTTCTACGTGTTGAGTACGTCATCTATAATCCGACTTGTGGGGCCTTCGTTGTCCATGATGTCCATGGACCGTCATTTCAACTTGGATTTCTTCTCTCATAGTTTAAACTGTGTAAATTTTTTTTTTAAATGCATGAATGTATTTTTTGAAATTACTCTTGTTTTGGAGGGTTTATTGGTAGTACTTTCTTGCCCGTGGGATTAAATATGTCCTGCTCCCCCTTTTTTTGTTTTAATAATTTGGAAGATACATATCCCGTATTTCTCTTGTTAGGAGTCATTTTTAAGTTTTCAGTAACTACAAGAACACATGTAGATAAACATCAAGATTTAATCATTTCATAGCCTCCCCCACCCCAGTAAAAGTATACCTTGAGCCCATTCTTAATTCCCTATTCCTCTCAGTTTGGTTTCTTTTTTAATTGTGGTAAAATACACATAGCAGAAAACGTACCATTTTAACCATTTCTAAGGGTCCAGTTCAGTGGTAGCAAGTCCATTCCCATTGTGGCGCATGCCCCCGCCCTCCACCTTCCCTGACTGACCCTCGTCCCCCACCCCCTGGCTCCCCCATCCACTTGCTGTCTCTGTGCATTTGACTCTGCCAGGGGCCCCGTGGGAGTGGAGTTGTACCCAATCTGCCCCTGTGGGCCTGGCTCCACAGGCATGGCGTGACCGTCCACGCCAGCTCAGGCTGCTCGGGGCTCTTCCTGCTCAGAGTCGCGCATCTTCAGGTTTTTATCTCTGGCACAGGCAGGGCACATAATGGGCATTCAGTACAGGCTGAATGCTCGCTGATCACAGTGACAGATTCAGCTCTGGGGATCTTCACTTCTTTTTTAAATGTGAGCTCCTCCTTGTTTCCCACGAGAGCAGAGCCTGGGAAAGAGGTGGAGCGCCAGGGCCTCGGGTCTGTGTCGTGCCTTCCCCTGTCTGCAGGGGGAGTTTCTCACGTGCACGGTTTCTGAAATCTCCCCTTGAAGACGCCTGGCTGGCTCTTGCTGGCACTAAGGTTTTGTTTGCTTTTCTTCCTAGATGACAATGAAAACGAAACAGCGCATGCTGACGGAGGACTGGGAGCTTTTCAAACAGAGGCGATTCATTGAAGAGCAGGTGAGGCTGTGGGGAGGCTGCTCACCAGCGCAGGAGCGCCGCTCAGGGAAAAACACCACCATTTCAAGGGCACACTGTGGGTCTGCTCCTGAGAGTGTTGTTAATCCTAGATCAGCTATTTCCCTTATCCCATTTCTTTCTTTTCTGTATTCCTCGAGGAAAATCCCATTTACCGAGTGACCCACGCCAGCCCAGAGCCACCCAGGTCCCTGCTGTCTGGTCTCCTCAGAGGCAGCTGGTGCCGTGAAGTCATGGAGCTTGGAGCCGGCCCGTTCCCCTCAGGCCCAATTCACAGGCCTCCCCACACGGGCCCAGTGTAGCTGCTGACAACACGGCTCACTCCCTCCTTCCCCACAGGCTCTTCCCTACCTCTCTACACCCCGCTGTGGCTGCCTGGGGACCTTGACCCAATGGCCTCAGGGCCCTCGACTTTGGAAGCTTGCTTCCCTTGATTCTCGTCCATAAGCTGGCGTCTCTCCCACTTTCTCTCGGGCCAGCTCTGCCCCCCGTCGGCCTTCCTCAGGCATTGGTGGCCCTTGACCTCAGCCCCCACACCCATGTCCTCACCCCTGTGGTCTCCTCTGGGTACCCACACTGGACTTGTTCACCTGCTCCGACCCCCCCGACCCCCTTCCTGTGTGGCTTCTAGCCTATCAAATGGCCCTTCTAGCACCACCCATCTCATTGCCAGAGCTGGTCTGTAGGTTTCTTCTCTGAAATCCAGATCCTGGCCTTATCGACTGGAAGTTTGGGTGCCACTTTCCAGGTAGCTCCTGGATTTGCACCCTTCATGTGTTGGTCCTTGTTTCTGCAGTGGGTGTCCTCCCCAGCTGGCCTTCCTCCCACCTGCCTGCTTCTGTCATGTGTCACAAATGCCTTGTAACTCGTGGGCACTCTGGTGCTGCGGCTCTGTGTGTGCAGGCCTGTGTGCATCCCCGCTATTCTGTCACGCACGGCGCCCCCCGCCCCCCCAAATCCCACAAGACTCCCTCCTACTCAGCCCAGGGTCAGCCAGGCCTTCCAGAGGTGTTTCAGCGATTCCTTGCTCAGTGCTCTGCCCCTCACCTGGATGCTCTCTTTGCCTCTGACAGAATTACCAACACCACCTCCTTGGCCCTGCGTGGGCCTGGCTCCCTGCTGAGCTGCTTTTCTGCCAGGGCACCTCCCACATCATGATTTCTGGTTCCAGGGTCTGAGCTCCTGGGGTGCTGCGGTTTAGCTCTGCGCTCCTGGTCCCTAGTGAGTACCGAGCACACAGCTGATTTCCAGGTAAAGGCTGGGTGTCTGCTGGTGAGGCACCGGCCGGGGCTTACTGCTCCCTCGCCTTTGTGAGGCTCAGGCCTGCAGCTGCTGTGCATTTCAGGTCTGCCCCTTCCTGGCCCTGTCCCATTCTAGGAACCTGTCGCCACTGGCTTGAGTGAGCATGGCGCACACAACCATGATTACTGAGAAGCTGAACCACCTGCCTGGGGGTATATGGTGCAAAGTTAACCTCTCTCTTGATGATTTCCTCTAGCTGACCAATAAGAAAGCAGTCGCCGGTGAGAACAACTTCACGGACGCCATGAGGCACATGCTGTCCTCCCGGCTGAGCATGCCCGACTGCCCCAACTGCAACTACAGGAGAAGGTGAGCCTGCGCTCTCGTGTGGGCGCAGCGGGCCTGTGGGACCCACGACCTCACTAGAGGCGCTGACCCTGACAGAGCATGGTCTGACCTGTCTTGGTTCTCTGGGTAACTGTCCTTCATTCCCACTCAGATGTGCTTGTGATGACTGCAGCCTCTCACACATCCTCACTTGTGGTGTCATGGACCCCCCCGTCACTGGCGACATCCACAGTCACCAGCTGCCCCTCCAAGTGGATTCTGCTCCCGACTATCTCACTGAGATGCGCCCACCTAGCGTGTCCTCAGCAAGCTCAGGGTCAGGTTCCAGCTCTCCCATTACAATTCAGCAACATCCCAGACTCATCCTCACAGACAATGGCTCTGCACCAACTTTGTAAGTTGTGACTTTGTAATAAGATTTCAGAAATTTACGTAATCCAATAATGAGAAATATGGACAAGTAATGTCTACAGAAGTACAGATATCATTACAGTGCTTTTCAAGAAAAAGGATCCTTCATTTTTTAAGCAATTTTTAAAATACAAAATCAGTAAACCCAAACTTTGACACTATTTCACTACCTGAAAAAAAAAATACGGTAAATTTATAAATGCCAGTGAAGAAAAAACCATGTTGGTATGCAGGGAAGTGTCTCTACAGTTCTGGCTTCACGTTTCCTCATTTTATTTGAGGGTGATCAGCCCGAAGTTCATTCCGCCTCATTGTCCGTTCAGCATTCATGCTTATTCCATGTCTTGCTAAAAACTCAGATGATCACTTTAGCAAGCGATTGAAAGGTTCTGTTTTCCGTGTTCCCACATTATCTAGAAGTACATTTTGTGTGAGCGAGGTGGCTGTGCAGCTGTCGCCAATTCACACTGTAGGTGAGTGGTCCCACGTTTCTTCAGAATTGTGACCCTGTCATCTGTTGAGGCTTTCCACTCTAACTTCTGGACGGGTTGCACATGGATGTGTGTTTTTATTTTATTTAGGTAAACTTAGGTCTGCACTTTGCTTATCGTAGAATGTGCGGGTGTCGGGAGCCCCGTGGAGGTGATGGACACCAGCACGGTTCCCAGAGGGAGGGATTGTTGCCCCGCCCTTGGGCTGCTCAGTGACTCTCAGATTTCTCACCACCTCCATCTGGATTTCTCCCGACGACTCTGAGGCTTTCCTTCATAGTCTTGCAGTCCTCGATACGGATCTGGTCTCAAAACACAAAATAATTCCGAAGGGATTGGTCTGAGCGCCATGACTCTGTTGAGCTCGAGCTGCTTTCTAGTCCTGGATATCCTGTGCTCTTTCTGGGAGCCCGTGAAGGAGGGTCGAGGGTTTCCCAGCTAGCTGTTTGCCAACCTCTTACAAAAACATACCGAAATTAAGCAGTACGGTCTAATAAAAATTTATGTTGGAAAACCTGCCGATGTCAGGTATGGGCTCCTGGGCTGTGTCGAGTGGTGGAGGAAATGGGCTGTGGGTACCTTTCTCTGTGGGCCAGGATCGCCTGCGGCTGCGCTGCTCCTCTCTCTGGTCCTTCCGCAGCTTGGGATTAGTGTCTTCCAAACATGAACTGCTAGGACTTGAAAGCCTCCACGGTTGCCTTTGGTTTGTGTTATCTCTTTCTTGGTGTCGTTCCTAAGTTGGTTAAAGACAACCATGCGACCGGAGTCTCTGTACTAAGGGCTCTCTAGTTTTCATGGGCTTTGGGGTAGTTGAAGCTTGCCTTCATTACACTGAGCAAATGATTTAACCACTTCATGTCTGAACCTCGGCCTCCTCATCTGTGAATCGTGGTGGTAATGTCTCAGGAGTGGATGTGAGTGTTGACCAAGGCCACACGTTCCATCACCTCCGGTGCCATAGGCCTCGGGAGACCTGAGCAGCCTTCACCTGGTGGGTGCTGGGCGTGCTAACTTTGGTGAGCTCCAGATCACAGCATATGGTGTTCCCTCTTTTTCCAAAAATGGAAAGGACATCTGAGTGTAGCAATTCTCGACACTCTCCTAAATCCAAGAGATCACTAGTTCGTAGGATTTTTCCTTCTGGAAGTTATTGTATGCGGAGCTGAAGACGGGCTCAGAGGCATGTTTATGGTCACAGCGGGGTGACCACATATGGTCTGTGCCTTGCACAGTCTGCACTGATGTGGGGGCTCTGTGCCTGCCCTTTGATGCACCAGAAAAGCATATGTTTGAAGTGGCCTTCGTGGGCTACAGACTTGAAATTTGCCTACCTTTTTTTTTTTAGTAAATACTCCATTTGCCCATTGTTTAGATGTCTTGTTAAAGCTGATAATTGTGGTCACGACTGACTTGTCGCGATCTGGCCTTGTAGTAAAAACCTTTTAGTATTTTGTCACCTATGTGCCTTTAAAGTTTTGTTCATCTGGCTACGTCTGAGATTTTGGTGGTTCTTTGTACCCCCTTTAATTTTAATAAAAAATTAATTGTGTCTGCTTGGAAATGGCAGCAAACAGTTATATACCAAGGCACTTCAAGCCAAATGGAAATGCAATAATAATTAATCTGATTAAATTTTGGCAGTTTCTCAGATATTTTTCTTCTTTTGGCGTTTTGTTTTCCATTCTTCTAAATAGCACAAATGGTAATCTTTCAGGCATTTTCCCCCAGTGTTCAGGTTACTAAGAGATTGTTACGTTGTATGCGTGGTGCTTAGTGTAATACTCTTGTAAACCAGAACAGTGTACGTAAAGGAAACGTCTGTGCTAAGTGGGTGGTTCACTTACTGTCTTCCCCCCGCCCCCGCCGGGTGAACAGACTCCTGGTGACCATCTCTGCCTGTCTCAGTTGTAGTGATGATGAAGACGTTGCACCACTGTCAGCTAAATTTGCTGATATTTATCCACTGAGTAACTACGATGATACTGAGGTGGTGGCCAATATGAATGGAATCCACAGCGAATTGAATGGTGGCGGGGAAAACATGGCTCTGAAAGATGAGGTAGGGGCACGGCTTCTTCATAGTGATAATAAATGGCATAAAGTGGTGTATCTGGTGTCTTATTTTTTAAAATTCTTCCATTTTGAAAAGTATAAATTACAAAGGTTGTTTTTAAAGTCCCCTCAGGTAAGCAGTACCAGTAGTAGCTCTTCAGAGGCTGACGACGAAGAGGCGGATGGCGAGAGCAGTGGGGAGCCGCCAGGAGCCCCAAAGCAAGACGTAGCTCTAAGCAATGGGAGTCCCAGGAAAGAGGAGAGTAAAGTGGACAGTCCACCCCCATCTTACCCTACTCAGCAGGTATGATTTCATTCTCCCAAACTTTGTGCTTTGCCAAGGGTGTCTTTCTTTGTGTATATTTTCTCTAAACATGAGTATTATTGAATGCGAAATTATGTTATCTTGAATAGCTTCTGAAGATCAGAGCTGGAGAGGATTGAGGCAGGCTTATAAAATACACCGATGTGATTCCTAACCCCGTTTTCATCTTGTTCCTCTCGCTTGAATCCACTCGACAGTCTTGATTTTGCAGCTCCCCAGAGTCACTCCAGACATTTAGCTGTAGTAGAGGTATTTTTTGTCTGTAAAGAAGCAAAGGGAGGGTTTTTTTAATAAATAAAATAATGGAATGTTAAAGTTTCAGAAAAGGTTGGTTTTGTAAGGGAGGTTTTTTCCTGGTGGATCTCTGTCTTTCTGTTAACCAAACGTGAGCGTGCATCAGCAGGTGAGCGTGCGTCAGCAGGTAGACACACTGGAGTTCTCTTTCTCTTTTTAGTCCTTGCTGATGGGCACTTGTGTTTGCTTCCCTCTGTTTTCCCTCTCTGCTATTCAGTGAGCAACCTTACACGTCTGACCTCTCCCACATCAGTAGGTCTGTCCCTACGATTGGTCACCAGTGGTGGCTTCTCTGGGTCAGAGTGTGATGGCCTCCCCTGCCCCCCAGAAGAGGACGACGTCACAGTCCTGGGGTTTGGCCAGTCTGGTGAGAAACGGCAGCCCCTTGAGATTTGTCTTCCCTTCATTTCCCATTCCATCTTATTGTTGAGGTGTCAGACTTTTTTATATGTTGTTGTAAGTCCTTTATAAGTGTGTGATTGCAGAGATTTTCTCTGGGTCTATGGCCTGTCTATTAGTTGTGTGGTTTGTGGGTTTTTTTGTTTGTTTGTTTGTTTGTTTTTTTAAAGATTTTATTTATTTATTTGAGAGAGAGAATGAGAGATAGAAAGCACGAGAGGGAAGAGGGTCAGAGGGAGAAGCAGACTCCCTGCTGAGCAGGAAGCCCGATGTGGGACTCGATCCCGGGACTCCAGGATCATGACCTGAGCCGAAGGCAGTCTCTTAACCAACTGAGCCACCCAGGCGCCCATTTTGTTTGTTTTTTTTTTTAAGATTTTATTTCTTTACTTATTAGAGAGAAAGTACATGCACGCGTGCACGCAGGGGGAGGAGCAGAGGGAGAGTTAGAGAGAATCCCAGGCTGACTCCTTGCTGAGCACAGAGCCTGACTCGGGGCTCGATCTCCCAACCCTGAGATCACGACCTGAGCCGAAACCAAGAGTCGGATGCTTAACGGACGGCACCACCCAGGCGCCCCTGTCTGTTAGTTTTTTTATGGCATTTTTTTGAAAAGCAAAAGTTCTTAATTCTGGTGAATTCTAGTTCCTCGGTTTTTCCTTTTATGAATCATGCTTTTGATGTCGTATCCAAGAAAACTCTGTTTTCTTCTACAAGATTTACAACTTTAGCTCTCACTTAAGGTGTGGTTCATTTGACTCAGTTTTTGCTCATGGTGTGACGAGAGGGTCTATATTCATCTTTTTACAAAAGATGTCCAGTTGTCCCAGCACCATTTGTTGACAAGACCCTCTCTTTTCCTGCTGAATTGCATCAGCCGTTTGTTGAAAATCACAGGGCTCTAAATACAAGTGTTTATTGTCTACACTTTGCACTCTCTGCTTATTTGGCCTGGGTCCTTTCCCATAGTGTACGTGACCTGCTCTGTAGTAAGTTTGGACAGCAGGTAGGGTCTGCCCCCCAGCTTGGTGGGCCTTATTGAAAATTGTGCAGGCTTTTCAAAGTCCTTCGTGTTTCCATGTAAGTTTTAGAATCAGCTTGTTCTACAAAAAGGCCTGCCTAGATTTTGATAGAGATTATATTTCTTGAATACTTGATAGAATTCACCAGCAAACTCCTCTGGGCCTACTCTTTTCTTTGTGGGATGATGTAGATCAGTTTGGGGAAAATACTGTCTTAATAAAATTGAATCTGTCAGCCTAGGAATGTGCTGTATCTTTCCATTTTAATCATCATTAATTTCTTTCAGCAGTTAAAAAAATTTCTAGTCAGTAGGTCTTGAACATATTTCTTAAATTCTTTTTTTTTTTTAAGATTTTATTTGTTTGAGGGAGAGAGAGCACAAGGAGGGGGAGCAGCAGAGGGAGAGGGAGAAGCAGATTCCCTGCTGAGCAAGGAGCCTGATGCGGGACTTGATCCCAGGACCCTGAGATCATGACCTGAGCCGAAGGCAGACATTTAACCAACTGAGCCACCCAGGCGCCTAAATTCATTCTTAAAAGTATTAGATGTTTTTGATTCTGTAGTAAATGATATTTTCTAATTTCAATTTTCAATTGATTATTGGTAATATATAGAAATACAGTTGATTTTCAAATATTTGTCTTATGTTCTGCAGCTTAAACTTGTTTATTCTTTGGTTTCTCCCCCCCCCCCTTTTTTTTTGGTTCGAGTCCTTTGGATTTTCTGGATGCAAGATCATGTTTGTGAACAAAGACAGTGTTACTTTTTCCTTCTCAATCTGGATATTTTTAATGTCTTACTCTTGCCTGACTGAGCTAGCTAGAACCTCTGGCGCAGCACTGCACAGAAGCGATGCAGGCAGCCATCTTTGCCTTTGCTCCTGGTCCCTGGAGGGAGGCGTTCAGTCTGTGAATAGGATGATGCATGTTTGCCATGGACGGCCTTACCACACTGAGGGAATAAATCCTGTCAGCTCATGTCCTAAAAGTTTTATCATGAACGTATATTGGGTTCTCCAAATGCCTTTTCTGTATCTATTAAAATGTTCCTGTGGTTCTCATCCTTCATTCTTTTACTGTAGTGTGTTGCATCAGGTGATTCTGGATTTTTTTTTTTTTAAGTTGACTCCATGCCCAGTGTGGAGCCCAATTCAGGGCTTGAACTCACAACACTGAGATCAAGACTTGAGCTGAGATCAAGAGTCGGATGCTTAACCGACTGAGCCACCCTGGTGCCCCTGACTCTCGGATGTTAAACCAACCTTGTGTTCCTGGGATAAATCCCATTTGATCATGGTGTATAAACTTTTTTTTTTCTTTTGGTATGTTGCCAGATTGGTTTGCAATCTTTTGTTAGGATTTTTGCATCCATGTTAATAAAAGATACTGTTCTGTAGTTATCTGTGCTTGTATACAAGTGTCTCTGTGTGGCTTCAATATCAGGGTAATACTGGCCTCGTAGAATGAGTTGGGAAGTGTTAATTCTGCCTCTGTTTTCTAAAAAAAATTTGTCTAAAATTGAGATTTCTTTAGTAGTTGATAGAATTTACCAGTGAAATCCATGGGCCTGGTCTTTTCTTGTGTGAAGATACAGAATTACTAATTGAAATTTTGTTTACTTGTTATAGGTTTATTCAGATTTTCTATTTCTTCTTGAATTTAAAATTTTTATGTCTTTTCCTCCATTTCATCTACATTGTCTACGTTGATGGCATGAGATTGTTTATTGTATTCTTTTATGATTCTTTTAATTCTGCAGGGTCTGGAGTGATGTTGATTCCTGACTTGGGTAATTCTGTCTACTTTTTTTTAAACCCTCAGTCTAGCTAAAGAATTGTCCATTTTTGTAAAAGAAAAAATGGGTTTTGTTAATTTTTTCTGTTTCTCTCTTTATTTCTTTGATTTCTATTCTGATCTTCATTATTTCTTTCCATAGACTTTGGGTTTGGTTTGTTCTTCCCTTTCTAGCTTGTTGAATCTAAGCTTAGATTACGGATTTTAGAACTTCCGAATTTACTGAGACCTGTTTTGTGGCCTAAAATCTGGTCTGTCCTAGACAATGTTCTATATATACTTGAAAATAATTTGTGTTCTGCTCTTGTTAGATGGAGTGTCCTGTGAATGAGAGTTTGGTCAGATTTATAGCATTATTCCAGTCCTCCAGATCCTTCCCGATTTTCTGTCTGGTTCTAAAAATTACTGAGAGACATCCTGAAGTCTTCACATATCACTGCTGGACTGTCTGTTCCCTTTTCAGATCAGCCAGATTTTGATTCGCGTGTTTGGGACAGTGTCGTTGAGGGGGTGTGTGTGTTATTGTTACGGGACAGTGTCGTTGAGGGTGTGTGTGTATTATCGTTACGGGACAGTGTCGTTGGGGGTGTGTATGTGTTAGTTACGGGACAGTGTCGTTGGGGGTGTGTGTGTGTTACTGTTACCGGACAGTGTCGTTGGGGGTGTGTGTGTTACTGTTACGGGACAGTGGTGTTCAAGGTGTGTGTGTGTTATTGTTACCCCCTTTTTGATACAGATTGGCTCTTTTGTCATTATCAGATGCTCCTCCGCTAGCTTTTCTCATCTAGAAAGAGTATTTCATCCCATGGACGCAGAGTCGCTCCCGCTGCCTTCGGGTTACTGTATGCGTGTTATCTATTTTTTCATCCTTTGAATTTCAGCCTCTTTGTATCTTTGAATTTAAGATTTGTCTTTGAATCCTTCAGTTGGGTCTTGTATTTGTGTCTTGTCAATCGATCTCTGCCTTTTGTCTGCAGGGCTTCGTTTATGGTTTAATGTAATGGTCGCTGTGGTATGTGCAACTGGTACTTTGTTGTCTATTTCCATAGGTCTCATGGTTTTTGTTCCTCTGTTCCTCCTTTACTCCTTTATTTTTTTTTATTTTTTTTAAAGATCTTATTTATTTATTTGATACAGACAGAGAGTGACAGAGATAGCAAGGAAGAGCACAAGCAGGGAGAGCGGCAGAGGCAGAGGGAGGAGCAGGCTCCCTGTGGAGCAAGGAGCCCGACGTGGGGCTCGATCTCAGGACCCTGGGATCGTGACCCGAGCCGAAGGCAGACGCTTAACAACTGAGCCACCCAGGCGCCCCTACTCCTTTATTTTGTATTAAAATTTTTAGTGCACCGTTTAAATTCTGCTATTGATTCTTGGGTCTTTTTAGTTTGGGGTTTTGTGTGTGTGTGTGCCATGGTGTTTCTTTTTTATTATTAACGTATAATGTATTGTTTGTTTCAGGGGTACAGGTCTGTGATTCATCAGTCTTACACAATTCACAGCGCTCGCCATAGCACATACCCTCCCCAGTGTCCATCACCAGCCACCCCATCCCTCCCACCCCCATCCCTCCAGCAACCCTCAGTTTGTTTCCTGAGATTGAGTCTCTTATGGTTTGTCTCCCTCTCTGGTTTCATCTTGTTTCATTTTTCCCTCCCTTCCCCTAGGATCCTCTGTCTTGTTTTTCAGATTCCTCATATCAGTGAGATCATATGATAATTGTCTTTCTCTGACTTATTTCGCTTAGCATACTACCCTCTAGTTCCATCCACGTCGTTGCAAATGGCAAGATTTCTTTCCTTTTTTGATGGCTGCATAATATTCCATTATGTCTATGTATGTGTATATGCACACTGTATCTTCTTTATCCATTCATCTGTCGATGGACATCTAGGCTCTTTCCATAGTTGGGCTATTGTGGACATTGCTGCTATAAACATCGGGGTGCACGTACCCCTTCGGATCACTGCATTTGTATCTTTGGGGTAAATACCCAGAAGTGCAATTGCTGGGTCGTAGGATAGCTCTATTTCCAACATTTTGAGGAACCTCCATACTGTTTTAGTTTGTTTTTAGGGCTGCTAGGAGTTGGGACTGGGAAGAGTCCCAGGCAGGAAGACCAGGCCCCTGCTGCTCTTACCTGATGCTATGGCAGATTGGCATGAATAAATACTTCTTGATTTGCTTCTTCCCTTTGATTGATTTTCAGATCCTCAAATGGTTGCTTTGACAGTTGCTTTCAGTTTTACCCTTGTTTTGAGGGAGAGGAGCCACTGACTGCTTCATGTCACCCTCGATGAGTCCCGTCTCTGGTGCCTCTCGCAGCATCTCCATGTAACCATCTCCATGTAACCACTCATGAGCTGCGTGACCCCCTGGAGCCCACACCAGAGCTCCGTCCTCCTCAGCCCAGCTCCCCCCTCCCCTCTGCCACCCTTGCCAGTCCCCTTGTTCCTGCACAAACAGGCATAGGCACAGATGGGTGTGGTTGCCACCTCAGTAGACACCTGGCCGGGGGGCGAGATGTGCATCTCTTCTGTCTGTCCCAGGCTCCTGGGGTCCCTTCTGTACTTTACAGGGTAGGCTCTGGACAACTCGAGGTGTCCCATGAGCCCTGTCCTCTTTGTAGTGGCCACGTAACTGCTCAGCAGAATGTGACTGACTTTAGTTTAATTCACACCATTCTTTGTTTCACTAAATAAGCGGGTACTTTTTTTTTTTCTTCTCTTCTTTTAGCCTGAACAAGCTCCGAACACTTGTGAATGTCATGTTTGTAAACAGGAAGCTTCCGGACTCACGGCATCAGCAATGACCGCAGGAGCCCTCCCCCCGGGCCATCAGTTCCTGAGCCCAGAGAAGCCCACCCACCCTGCTTTGCATCTTTACCCCCACATCCACGGACACGTGCCTCTGCACGCAGTCCCACACCTGCCCCGCCCTCTCATCCACCCCACCTTGTATACGGCGCCCCCCTTCACACACAGTAAGGTAAGTCAGGGCAGAGAGGGCCTGGAAGCTCACCTGTCACTAAGATCTTACAAGAAGTGCATGTTGTAACAAACAAAAATCCATAAATTGGTGACTTGGATAGGACCAAGTCTACTCTTGATAGGAAGGTCTGCAGATGTCTCCTTTTACCATAATCTTAAGCTCTCAGAATTTTGAACCTTCACAGCTGTAAAAACAATCATGAAAGTCATAGTTTACTCCTTCAGAATTAACTAGAACATAAAGAGTTTTCCAAGTGATCGTGTAACGGGTTGTAGTTGGGGGAACTGCACACCCAGCTCTTCTGCTCACGCAGACACCAGTTCACTTCTTTCCTCATGGCCTCCTGGGGCCTGGCTCTTTTTCTTAATGTTGCCTGGGTAAGATGTGGTGAGTATGGCACGAGTCCTCTGACACTAGCCGGGCTCCATGGTGTCTGAAATGATTACGCTCTCTAAGCACGAAAACGAAGCGCTCGTCGAAATGCACAGGCTGAAAGGGGGAATCCTAAGCGTAATGGAGAGAAGGCCGCAACGTCATGCAGGCTGTTGGGAGGCGGCTGCCAGGCACAAAGGAAAGGGCCTCCCAGACCAGTCTGTTCAGAGAAGTGAGCATGTAGAAAAGGTTTGCTTTTTATGTAGTTCTTCTCAGAGAACCCCATGCTTATATTTTCGTAGCTTAAACTTTGCAGTGAAATATTTAGTTTTCCCCAAACCCTACAGATTTATTATTTAAAACGGTGATTCTCAACTGGGAGGAGGACATGGGATGAAAGGGGCTTTTTCAGACTACAGGAACGTGTTCTTTCCCCAAGGGGCGTTTGCTGTGAAGGGGGGTGTATATAGCCCATCAGTGGGCTTTGTTGTTTATTTGCTGGGGAGGGGCATCTAACCACTGATTTAGAATAGAATAGAATCAGTTTGTCATGTTCTGTTGCAATAAGTACTTGGTAACTGCCCACATTTATGCTTAAATTTTGTTAGATTGAATATCGCTCAGTTTGGACATTTAATGATGGCTTTATTAATAGAGTGATTTGAAATAGCATTTTTCCAGTGTGTATTCAAAGCCAGGCTATATCTTCATGGTCTGCGTGGTCTCTATGGCCTCTTTCCCTCTGGGTGAATGTACGGGTGGGGAAGCTGTCCATTCTGAATACAACTGCTTTCTCCTCCCTGGGAGCCACCTCTAGGAGAGAGTACAGAATGTTGTTATAATGTCTTTGCTGGTAGAAACTATTCGAGAATCGGTTCCTAAGCATCTTTAAGTAAAGTAGTGAAATTGATTATTCCAAAAGGCTATTGGGACACTCCAGTTAAAAACTGATTTTTTTTTCCCCCCTGACATTTGGCCTTTTCTCAGGACATTATGGGTAGTCCATAAAAGGGTAAAGGAGAAGAAAAATATTTTGGGGGAATATCATCTGTATATAAAATCTATGTATTTAATACCTTCTAAACTTTAATCCAGTAGATAGATGTGGAGGATTCATGGGTAGAAAGGCAATGCAGAGAACAAGCTAGTTAGGCTTTTATTTCAGTCACTTCGCTGTTGATGTCAGGACTGTTCACTGATGCATTTATTTTATTTTGTAAGATTTTATTTATTTTTGCAAGAGAGAGAAAGAGCAGTGGGGAAGAGCAGAGGGAGAAGCAGGCTCACCGCTGAGCAGGGAGCCCAATGCTGGACTCGATCCCAGAACCCTGGGATCGTGACTTGAACCAAAGGCAGACACTTAACTGACAGAGCCACCCCGGCACCCCACTGATGCATTTAAAATACATTAGCTAGATGCCACATTTATTTAGAAAAATGAGATTCATTTGGCAAAATACTTCATTTGAATCTCGTATAAAAATGTTTGTTTCTCTAGACAGGCTTGCACTGTTACTCGCCAGGTCTTCCAAAATTAGTTTGTGTTGAGTTAGTTTGACTTAGTTGCATACTGTGAATACATGGTATACCTGATGCATGGTGTGTTCACAACCCCATAGGAGTTGGTAGAAGCCCCTTCTAGAGAACGCACACACTTGTTTTCAGTTATGTCAGAGCCGGCTTGTTCAGTGGGATCCCCCACATGTGGCTGGGAGGCAGAGCTGGGTGCTGAACACCGAGGGCAGCCTTGCGTGTGGAGCTCGGCTGCTTCCATGTTTTTGTTCTCTAGGCCTTCAGGGATTTTTGCTCTGGTGAGGTGGCATTTGTTGCCTTTAGGACTGTATGTCATTGTAGTTCTAATTCTTTTAATTCATACTCTGGCCATTGTGGGTAAATATTTAGTACTTAAAATGCTTGGGATGAATAGTATAGAAAAAAATTTTTTTGAACTTAGCCTAACTTGAAGACCATTTTTGTTTTCAAATGTCTTTGTACCAGTGATACATTTAATTTATATGTTGAGATACAAGTTATTTGAAAGTTAAAAGTAGTTACAGGAGAAAGATACAGTAATGAGATTCTAGACAAAAATTAAAACTGTATGGCAGGGAATTTTATTTGCAAATATTTGGGGATTTCTCGGCTGTCTTTTTGTTACTGATTTCTCCTGTAATTCCACTGTGGTCTGAGAGCAGACATTGTGTGACTTTTGTTCTTTTGGGTGTGTTAGTGTGCTCCGTCTTGGTGAGCGCGCCAGGCGAGCTTGCAAGTGTGCGCACTCGGCTGCTGCTGGATGAAGCAGGCTAATACTCGTACGCCAGGTGCGGGTGACTGACGGGGCTGCCGAGTCCAGCGATGTCCTTCCTGACCTGCTGCTGGATCTGCCCGCTCCTGACAGAGGGGTGTCGGAGACTCCAACTCCAACAGCAGACTCTGCTCCTCTGCAGTCCTGTCAGTTTTTGTCTCACGCAGTTTGGCACCGTGTTGTTCGGTGCTTACATATTTAGAATTGTTATGCATTCCTGGGGAATTGACCCTTCTATCATTATGGAATGCCCTTCTTTATCACCGATAATCTTCCTTGCTCTGAGGTCTGATGTGTCTGAAATTAATATAGCTGCTCCAGCTTTTCGTTAGCACTAGAACCACATCTCTTTTTCCATCTCTTTACTTTTAACTTAAAGGGGACTTTATACTCCCAGTAGGTTTCTTGTAGACACCTCTAGGTGGGGCTTAGTTTCTTTTGAGTTTTTTTTAAAGATTTTTATTTATTTGACAGAGAGACACAGCGAGAGAGGGAACACAAGCAGGGGGAGTGGGAGAGGGAGAAGCAGGCTTCCCGCCGAGCAGGGAGCCCGATGCGGGGCTCGATCCCAGGACTCTGGGATCACGACCCGAGCCGAAGGCAGACGCTTCACCGACTGAGCCACCCAGGCGCCCCTTGTTTTTTTTTAATATACTCTGATAATCTCTGTCTTCATTTTTATATTTAGACTAGCCACATTTAAAGTGACTTTTGATGTGTTTAGGTTAATAATAACCTTTGTTCTGTTTTCTGTTCATTACCAGAGGCTTCCTTTTTCTGCCTTCTCCACTTTTAATCCAGCATTTTCTGATTCTATTTTATCTCCTGTCTTTAGCATATTGATTATACTTTAAAAAAATGTTTTTAGCAGTTGCATTAGAATATGCATTTTAACTAACTTGAGTCCCCCTTCAGATAACGGTGTTCTGCTTCATGTTAGTGTGGGTACCTTGTCACAAAGAGTGTGAGCTTGCTGCTGCTCTTCTCCTGTGTCTGTTCATTAGTGGCCCCGGTACACTGTTACTGCTCGTACTGCACACAGTTACCCTGTGGGTCTGGTAGTAGTCAGGAATAAGTCCACGGCACTCACACTCACTCCTTCCCCATCGCCCTTCCTTTTTTCATGCAGATCCAGGTTTCTGACCTCTATCATTTTCCCACTGTCTAAAGAAAACATCCTCACGTTTCTTGCAGGGCAGGTCTGCTGGGGATGAGTTCCCTCAGTGTGTGTTTGTCTGAGGAGGTCTTTATTTCTCCTTCACCTTGGAAGGGTAATTTCACTGGATGCAGAATTCTGGGTTGGTGGGTTTTTTTTCTTTCAACACTGTAAACAAATTTCACTCTGCTATTATCTTAGTTGCATGGTTTCTGACCAGATGTCCTCTCTAATTCTTCAGGGCTACCCTCCCTCCCCCCTCCCCCCCTTCCCCAAGGCTGCTTTCAAGGGTTTTTTGGGGTCTTTTTGTTTTGTTTTGTTTTTTGTCTTTGCTTTCCTGCATTTTTTTAATGAAATGCCTAAGTGTAGATTTGGGAGTGTTTTTACCATTTGGTATTCTCTGAGCTTCGTGGATCTGTAGTTTGGTTCTGTCATTAATTTTAGAAAGTTCTCAGCCAATATTCCTTCAAATATTTCTTCTTTCTTTTCTCTTTCTTCTCCTTCTGGTATTCCAGTTCCTGTTACTATCTTTTGAAATTGTCCCATACCTCTTGGATGTTTTGTCCTATTTTGTGTCCCTGGTGGTGGTTTTTTAGTTTGGGGTGTTTTTTTTTTTTTAAATTCTCGTTTCTCTTTGCATTTCAGTTTGAGGAGTTTCTTTTGACATGTCTTGATGCTCACTGATTCTTGGCTGTGCCCCATCCACTGGTGATTAGTTCATCAAAAGTGCTTTGTTTCTCTTATAGTGTTTTTATCTCTAGCTTTCTTTATTCGTTCTTAGAGAGTCCATCTCACTGCTCACATTACCTGTTTGTTCTTGCACATTGTGTGCTGGTTTTTAAAAGATTTTATTTATTCATTTTACAGAGAGAGAGCAGGGGAGAGGGAGAGAGAATCCCAAGCAGCCTCCCTGCTGAGCGTGGAGCCCAACACAGGGCCCGATCCCACTACCTGGAGATCATGACCTGAGCTGAAACCAAGAGTCGGATGCTCAACCGACTGAGCTGCCCAGGCGCCCCCATTGTGTGCTTTTTCAAATGGAGCCCTCATCATCTTCGTCATTTTAAATCCCTGTCTGATGATGCCGAGCCCTTTTATCTTCGTTCCTCTCTTCTGCTGCGATGCTGTCTGCTCGCAGCCATCCTGCCCGCCCTGCTCTGCACCCTGAGCCTGTCTTCTCGCCCCTCGCCCCTTGGTCTGTCCAGAGAGCCAGAGAGCCCCTTTTGCATCGGCCTTCCAGTTAAGCGACTCTGATGTGTCTCCCATGCCACTTAAGTTTGACTTTTTAATTCCAGCTGTGATTCTGATTTATAAGCTTTAATTAATTTATTTTTAATGAATATTAGCAACTTTTTGTGTTCTCTTATTCCTTGATCACATTTTCTTTCATCTTTTCTTTCTTTAAGCATTTTACACATAGTTCTCTGTTTAAATGAAACCTTGAGGATCTGAATCTGTTTTTTTGTTGTTGTTGCTCCTTGTGAGTGTGTTGTTTCTTTGGATATACAGTAATTTTTCATGAGGTCATGTTTTGTTCATCTTACTCTGTGAGAACCACAAAGCCCTCAGTAGGGGCTGAGGTACCAGTGTGGTGCTACCCCACCTGGGACCCTTGAACTCCTCCTGACAGTCTCCAGAGGGACCACGGAACTGCTGCCCCCCATCACTGTGACAATGGTGTGTGCATCTTTAGGGCAGTCCTCCCTTCCCCACACCTCCACCTGGCCCTGTTTTTCTCACCATGTTCTGATCAGTTCTGTGAAAGATTTCCCTAGCTTTCACTAGGGCTCAGCACCTTGTTACAGAGGTGTTTGGTGCTGTTTCTCTAGGATCTAGGGTGTCATGTCCCCCTTCCTGGACAGAACCCAAGCAGAGGGGGACCGCACAGCCTCAGAGGGAAGGGTGTACACGAGCTGGCAGGCTGCGCCCCCAGCCCCAGCCCCGCTCCTTCACAGGGCACGTTCCCAGCCACTGACCTGCATGGCCCAGGAGTGGAGGGCCACGGCTGCGGGGCCAGGTTCAGAAGCCCGAGGCTTCCAGCTCCAAGCGCTGTGTTTCCATCCGGAAACCGCGTTCTGAAGCAGTCATCACGCTAGCAAAGGGCCTGGTAATGAAGGTGGAAAGATGTCTTGAACTCTCCACTGGGAGCATGAGTAGTAGTTGAAAATGGTCACCACATCCTGGCCCTCAGTGAGTTCCGGAGGAGTGGAGCCAGCAGAGTGGCTCCCGTGTGGCTCTGGGCCATGTGCCTCTGTCCCCTCCCTCATGGGGTGCTTAAGGCCCAACCACTGCAGAAGTGATGAAGTCAGACATGGGGGGCAAGTCTCAGTTCAGGCTGGAATTGGAGGGAGAAAAAAGCTCTGTGGGAAACAGGGACAGAAACAGACCACAGTTGGGGTCACACTGATCGTAAGTCTGTATTTTGTTTTGGAGGCCGTTTCAGTTCTTCTGGCCTGAGAAATAGCAAGACCAAAACAACCGTGGTGCTTTTGCCTCTTTACTGTCTCTGGCAGGAATATTGAAGAGCGTCAGAAGAAACAGAATAGTCACTCGTCCAGCTTCCTGTTCCATGGGATGTGCCTGTTGGCAGCCCCTCTCACACGTGCGTGCAGTGACTCGGTCTTTTGCCCGCTTGGCTGTGTTTGGCAGCCGTGTTCACGGTGTCCAGGGTGGAGGTGGTGGTGTGCGGTGGAGCCTGGCTCTCCTGGCTCCTGCATAGACGCCGAAGGTGTTCAGAAGGCATCCGTTAGTGTGTATTTGTCCGAGCTCCTCTTTAAAGCAAAACTTTTACTTGCCTGTGAATCACTTTTGTCTCAAAGTGGAGAACCATTCAAAAACTTCCATGACATGAACCCATGTGGATTTGTATAGAGTGAAATAAATCTGTGCTAATTCAACAGCATTGTCCACATGTTGAGAGACTAATTCTACGCCTAAATCGCTTGTGAGGCATGGCCCAGAATGGTCTCGTTGACAGGGGCCTGTATTTTTCTAAAGGAAGCCCACACCTGTTGAGTCGAGTAGCTGTCTTGTGGGAAAGCATTCACATAAACGCTCCTTGTTTGTTACGGACCCGCTACTCCCTTGGTCTCTACAACTGGACCTGCTGTTCTGAGAAAATGGGCTTCTGAAGAAGTGTGTGAAGTGAATTTAAGTTACGTTTTCAGTATTACAGCTTTACAGCTGTGCTCCCTCATCCCTCTAAGTCTGTTCAGCCTTTATTGAACATCCAGTACGTGCCAGGCCCTGTGCTACATGCTAGCAAAATACAAACCAGGGAACCTTGGTCCCTGTTTTTAGGGATCTCTCAGTCTAATCAAGTCAGAACCTCAGAACGCCACGGTGTGCCTTAGGAGCAGCTATCGCTGCAGAGTAGGGGAGTCACGCTGAAGAGGGAGGCTGGCTGACAGAGCCTGTCGGGTGGCTTTGCAGAGGCGGTGATGCCAGGTCGGGCTCTGAGGGGTACGCACAAGCTCTCTGGACGCGTGCGGGCGGCGCGTCCCGGCTCTCAGCCAGGCTCCCTGGAGCTGAGGGCAGTCAGCTGGCAGCCGTGAGGTGGGTGGGCCTTGGGAAGCAGTGAGGCGCTCCGGAGCCCACTGTGCTTCAGCTGTGCGAGGCCCGCGAGGCCGGTTTCTGCCTGCCGGGTGTCTCTGCCCTCAGCGGAAGGTCTTCAACGCTGAGAATCCCTTCTGCTTAGTCGTCACTTCCCATCGACTGCTCCGCAGCAAAGCAGCTCTTCGTTTATCACTACTCTGTGGAAACCGGTGTCTGTAGAAACATGGTTTTTTGGTTCCCTCACTCCTTGCCCTGGGGCTCCCCTGCCGGAACAAGTAGATTAGGCTGCTGCCTCGGTCCTGGGTGCGCAGACCTGTCAGCTCCTGTCGCATAGCCTGCGCATCCACGCCATTCTCACCCTCCGCCTCCCGGGGCCCGTTGAGGCCAGCAGGTGCGCTGAGCTGCCCGAGCGGAGTGACCCCGCTTCCTCTCTGCACCCAGGACGGGCAGGGCGGGCTTGCTGTGCATCTCGGGACCAGTCTTACAAAGTGGTGATGGTCCCCCTCGGCCCTTCACTGTGCTGCACACTTGAACCCATTGTCCAGTTTAAGTCTTACCACAACCCCTGGAGATCCGTATTTCCAAGTTACAGATGGGAAAACTAAAGCACAAAAAGATTGAGTAATTTGCCTGAGGTCACACAGGTAGTAAAACGGGGAGCTAGCGTCCAAACCCATCAGGCTGTGTGTCCCAAAGGCTGAGAACAGGACTGGTGTTCACGTCCCGCTTTGTCACTGGCCACACCTCCCAGGGACTGTGGCCTCGGTCTCCTGCTCCGATAGTCCCAGCGATTGTCCTGACGGCCCCGGACCCCCCCTTGCTCCCCTACCACTGCCTCCCGTCTCTCAGGCCCTGGCTGACTGCTTCCTGTGCTGGCCTCTCCCCTCCAGGCCGAGGCCGGGCAGCGAGGCCTCTGATTCGGGCCCTGCAGCCTGTCCGGCTTTGGTACAGCTGTCCGTGGCGCCCTCCCCCTTCCTCCCTGACCTCTGCCCCAGCCAGCTTCTCAGGGTTCTGCTCTTGGGAATCCTCCCAAAACTCTCCCAGTTGACTTCACAGCACTCGGGGCCCAGTTCTGTGTCCCCAAGGATGAGATTCCCAGGTGTTGTTCCCTGCGCCAGGCCTGTAGCTTCTCCGGGGACTTGGGGGGCAGGGAGGCCCGTCGCAGTGGGTGCTGCTGGGAGGGGAAGATGTGTGCCCGCATCAACAAGTGCTGGGGACAGCAGAGCCAGCACTCATTTGAGGGAAGGCAGATTTTCAACCAGCAGGCGACCAGTAAGTCTTGGATTATAACTGTGGTAAGTGCTAAGAGGGAAAATTGTGGATTTTAGGTGTGTTGAATGCAAAAGCCCACATTGGTCTTGGGTGCTGGATGGTGAGGGCAGCGGTAGTGATGACTTCTTTGAGGCAGGGACATTGAGGCAGAGGCCTGAAGGATGAATGTAAGTCAGCAAGGTTATGGACTGAGGTTAGGATGTTCTGGAAACTGGATGCAGCACAAGGAAAGTTCAGGGTCAAGAAGGAGCTTGGATTTGAGGACCCAGGGAAATCCTGTGCCCAGAAGCTTGGGGAACAGGAGGGTCAGGGGTAGGCCAGGCCATGTGAAGGACTTACAGTTTTATCTGAAGAGTGGTGGGAAGACATCAGTGCACCCTAAGCAAGGGAGTGACTCACTCTTACCGACCTCCCCAAAAGCTCACTCTGGCTGCTGTGCGGGAGAGGGCTGGGAGGAGGCCGGCGTGAGCCGCGGGGTCTGCGGGACCTGTCTGCGCAGGCGGTGGAGGCCGGGGCTGGCGGTGTGGGCCGAGGGAGGGAGGGGCCCAGGACGCCTAGGGCTGTGCCGGGGGTCAGCCAGCAGCTAGTCACTCAGTGAATGTGTGGACCCAGCCACCCTCCCTCGGTGTCTTCAGACAGCAGTCTGCCCCAGCAGGGCCCAGGGGCTGCTTCCAGGCTCCAGTAAAATCCACAGTTCCTTAGACGTGCACGGCACTCGGCCCAGGTGTGAGACACAGTTTAAGAGCTTTACCATTTTTTATTAGTGATTCCAAAGTTGACTTTTTAGCAGTGCTCTTTAGAATGTCAGATGAGACTAAGCTCTGGGAGCAAGTCGTACGCAAGCGAGCCACACGTAGACTGTGCCGAGCGAGGAATGCTGTAAGCTGCTGAGTTGTCTCAAGTCTGTTTGGTAGATGCCCTGCAGCATCAGCGGCTTTGAAAATGTACGCCTGGTTCACATGAGAGCAATCACACATAGTGTGACAGCCGAGCAAGTCCACGCTCTGCAAGACGCATTCAGCCTGGGACGCCCGCCCACAGTGAGCGTGGCCCCACAGGGTTTTCAGTCATGGGTTGTCTTGTCTGTAGTTTAACTACATAGGTAAGCAGAATATGAATTTTGATATGTGATTAGAACATTTTTTTTTGTAGGCTTTACCGCCAGCACCTGTTCAGAATCACACAAATAAGCATCAGGTATTCAATGCATCTCTTCAAGACCATATTTATCCAAGCTGTTTTGGGAATACTCCAGAGTGGAATAGTTCTAAATTTATAAGTCTTTGGGGATCAGAAGTGATGAATGATAAGAACTGGAATCCTGGCACTTTCTTGCCAGATACAATTTCTGGTAAGGAACTTGTTAAAACTTTCTTAAAGGTTTAAAATGACCTGAGCTGGGCGGATTGCTGTCTCTCTTACCGCGGTCCCCCAGTAGAAGCCCTAGGCTAGTCGGTCTCCCGCCTCCGCCACTCCTGGGAGCCTCCTCGCCCTCGTCCCGCTGCCCCAGCCACCCACGTCCACCGCCAGCCAAGTCCCACTGTCCGGACAGAGCAAAGCAAGGTGCTGGCACCCTGAGGCTGCTCCCGGCACGGCGGCCTGTCCGGGGCCCTGCGCATGGTGGATCTCCCCATGCCCCAGCGCTGCTGAGCCTCTTGTCTCCAGGCCTCGGTGTTCTGCCGGTGGTGCTCAGACAACGGTGGCAGCCACTCAGCCCAGTGTGCAGGGCCCTTGCAGCCATGCCACCGTCCACCTCAGTGCTGTGACTTCTGTTCCTTTTCTGGTGCTGAACTGACCTTACATGGGGTTTGTCCCCGCTGACAAGCTCCTTCCTCCCAGCTCTCAGCTGCCCAGGTACAGCTGTCATTTCAGGCGCAGGGAAAGGTGCACCTGAAGAGGGGCTGGTTGCACCCTTATCTCTGTCTTCACGTGGTTAGAGCCCACGGTGGCCCCACACCCACACCCTGCATGTGCTCAGAAAAGCGGGCTACACTTGACATCTGTGCTTGGAGTGGGTTACTAGGTGTGTGACCTTGGGCAAGTTGCTTAGCCTCTCTGAGCCTCAGTTTCTCTGTCTTTAGGATGGGACTAATAGTACCAAGCTCTGAAAGTAGCTTTAAGACAATAAGTAAAATCACTTTGGGAAAGCACCTAGCACGGGATTGGCACATAGTAGGTGCTCAATACATTTTTTTCCTGGAGAAAAACTGTTTGACCTGTATCCTCCCAGTGAAGTCCCAGCTTCGGGAGCAGCCCCAGTGTCAGGAGTTCAGTCAGCTGACGTCCCTTAGGTTTTAGTGACATATTTCTAGAAGCCTTACTTCTCCCATTCTTCTCTGAAGGGAGTGACATACTAGGACCAACACTCTCAGAAACAAGACCCGAAGCCCTTCCACCTCCGTCTAGCGGTGAAACGCCTGTAGTTTCCGAGAGCAAGGAGAAAAAAAACGCTGCAAAAAAGAAATGCTTGTATAATTTCCAAGATGCTTTCATGGAAGCAAACAAAGTTGTGATGGCCACGTCGTCAGCCACCTCCTCTGTGTCCTGCACGGCCACCACGGTGCAGTCCAGCAACAGCCAGTTCAAAGTGTCATCCAAGAGGCCTCCTTCCATAGGTAAGGCCCGCCAGCTCGCGGGAACCCTCGGGGCTCCTCAGCGAGTCTGCCGCTTCCTCCTCAGCATCTCTGTGATCCGCCTTGTCCTTGGCGTGGCCAGAGGCCTGGTGTAGTAATCAACGCTGGAGAATGCTCGCACACAGACAGCACGTCCCCTGGGAGTCGGGCCCGAGTTTCACTGCCCCACGAACTTCCTCTGGGGCTTTGCCACGCCGGCTTGCCTTTCTTCTCAGGACCTGTTGCTCTGTGAGAGGAAGAGGTCACTGCTCTCAGGGCACACGGAGGAATTCTTAGTCCTCTGAAAGCAGGGGCTTGGTGGAGAGTGAGCCGATGGGGCTGCTGGCCCGCCTGGGGTGCAGCCGCTGCCGCCACTCGCGTCTGTGGTGTGCAGGGGGTGTGGCTCCCCACGCTGGCATGAGCACGGGGAGCAGGGGTCTGGAAGCAGAGGTCAAAGGCACACAGGAGCTGGCTCTAAGGGCACTCACTAGCCAAAGTCAGGACAGTTGGAGCATCGGAAAGAATAACAGGATGGACGACAGCACACAGGGTCAAGAATCCCCTGGGTGTTAAGAAAGGAGACGGGGGGTAGGGACGCTGCTCTGTGATAGACATGCCAGACAGAGAAGGCCACTGTGCAGCTAGCAGGGTGACCGTTGGTCCAGGTGAGCGTCCCCAGTGGTCGTTGAGAACAGTGGCTATCCATTTGGGGAACGAGCAGTACCCGCAGGTGACTGGCGAATCACCTGCACACTGATCAGATGTGGCCTCACCGTCATGGAACAGACTCACATGAGGGGCCTCTTAGGCAGTCACGCGGGAAGGATCCAACATACCCTTTGCAGGAGTCATGCCCAAAACGTCTTTGCTGACTCTGACGTAACACCGTAAGCCCAGACTGGTGGGCAGCTGTGCTCATCTGAGGCGATGTCAGTGTTACCGAAGGAAAAGGGTCAGAAGAGGCCGGGTTGGGGAAGAGTTACAGGGGCTGTGTGGGGGACAGGGGACGGGGCGGGAATGTCACGTGGACGGCACACGTCCCGGATGCGGTCACACAGTGAAGTGTCAGGACCCCAGGGCCTCGTGCTGAGGTGTTCAGGGTGAGTGCAGCCTCCAGATGTTAGGCCAGAAAAGTGTGTGTGTGAGAAAGAAACGTGACAAAATGTTAAATAGCAGTGAATCCAGGTGAGGGGTATGTATGGGGCTTCTTTGTGCTGTTCCTTCAAAATTTGTGTAGCTTTGAACATCTTCACACGAAGAGGTAGAGAAAGCTTTAGTGAAGAGAAGCTAATGCAGCTCCACTGTCAGTGACCCTTCTGCGTCTCCGCATGCAGGTGAGGTGTTCCACGGCGTCAACAAGGAGGACCACAGACACGCGGTGCCGGCCGCCCCGAGGAACAGCCCCACGGCCTTGGCGCCGCTTCCCGCCCTCGCCCCTGCCGCGCTCGCCCCGGCCTCCTCGCCTCACCTCGCAAGTCTTGCAGCCCCGTCCTTCCCCAACACTGCTGCCCCGTCCCCCGGGTTTGTGGAGCCGCGCAAGAGCTTCTGTCCTGCTCCGGGAGCCCCCCCGCCCCCCACAACCGATGGCTCCATCAGCGCTCCCCCCAGCGTCTGCAGGTGAGCCCGGTTCCCGCTGGTGCCGGAGTCAGGGAGCCATGTGCAGCCCAGCAAGCCAGGGAAGGGCAGAGGCCGCGGGTTGCAGGGAGGACACTGGTCGCACCTCTCATCCTCAGGCCAGGGCCACCATGGGTGGGTGCACAGACCACCACCTCACCACTGGCAGCATGGTGGGGGGACAGGGGCTGGGTTTTTAAGTTGCATTGTTCTATGTTGAGTAAAGAACCATACAAGCATTCGACAGCTTGTTTTAAAAAGACGGTTTTTGTTACCTTTGAATTTGCCTCTTTGAAGCCACGACGCGGCGGGAGGGACGGTGGAGAGACTGTGTGTGCCCTCCAAGCCCCCTGCGCCTGCCCGTGGCACCTCCCCCGTGGGCCTCCCAGGGTCGGGTGGCTGTGCGTAACCGGCCCGTGTGTGGTCCTGCAGCGACCCCGACTGTGAGGGCCACCGCTGCGAGAACGGCGTGTACGACCCGCAGCAGGACGACGGGGACGAGAGCGCCGACGAGGACAGCTGTTCTGAGCACAGCTCCAGCACGTCTACCTCCACCAACCAGAAGGAGGGCAAGTACTGTGACTGCTGCTACTGCGAGTTCTTCGGGCACGGCGGGGTAAGTGCCCGGGCGCCACGGCCCAGGCGGCACCCACGGTGCGCCGTACGGGGTGTCGAGCTTCATCCGCAGCGTGCTTAAGATCAGGTGTGGTCTTGTGCTTCTCCTAAAGAAATAATGGAAAACATCTGCCCAAAGATCTACCTACAAGGAGTTTGTGTCTGCAGGTTTGCATTTGTTTGTGAGCTGGGGGCCTCCTGAACAGCCAGCCGTGGGAGTCGCTGGGTCCAGACTGTGCACGGCCATGCAGTGGGGCGCTCGCTGCGCGGCGTGCACCGTGGGACCCCTAATGGTCTGTCCGTAGGAGCAGATGGCGGCCGTGGGGGCCCCGGGGCAGGCGGGGCGGGTGGGGCGGGTGGGGGTGGGGCTGGTCATTGCTCTTTCTCTACTTTTGTTCTATCTGCGTTTGCTAGACGTGCGCACACACGTGTCCAGTGTCAGGAAGAAACGTTGGCGGTGGGGTTGAGGGCAGTTTTCTTTTTTCCCTTTTGGCACTGAACAAGAAACCCACAAAGGGATGGAAAGATTCTGCAAACGCATTTATTGACACGAAAAGATAATCACACTATAATATATACAGAGTAGATTAATTCGTATGTGTGATTTTTTTTTTTCTTTTTTGGTTTAAAAATGTCCATTTGTGTACATAGTTGTACATGTTTTACCATAGTTTTTGTGAACACGTAAAGGTTGAGGGGTCAGTGCCAGAACTAATCTTCGGGTCACTGTGGGACAGGTTTTCCTTGTTGCTGCCACTTGTTTGTTTTCCTTATTTTTCACCACGAACTGTGTATTACCGGCATAATAAGAAAACTTTCATCTTTAGAGATAGGTTCTGAAATTTGCAATATGCAGCATCATTAAAACTTGAAGCTTCATTCAGCCACGCTCTCCTTTAACTGCCTTAGCCTCCAGCTGCGCCGACAAGTAGAAATTACGCAGAGATGAGGGAGAAGCTCCGTTTGCGGCTGACCAAGAGGAAAGAAGAGCAGCCTAAAAAGGCGGACCAGCTCTCGGACAGAGAGAGTGTGGTTGACCATCGAAGGGTGGAAGACTTGCTACAGTTCATAAACAGCTCAGAGACCAAGCCCGTGAGCAGCACTCGAGCCGCCAAGCGAGCCAGACACAAGCAGAGGAAGGTAAACCGTGTGCCGGCACAGTGCTGCTCGAGGGTGGCCCGTGGAGCCGGGCTGGCTGCGGTGGGCCTCGGGGCCACGTGCCCATGCTGCGACCACGAGGGCCCCTGACCGTCTCCGTCTCTGTGGCCTGAGCCGGAGCTGGTCAGAAGCCCCAGGTTGTGTTTTCAGGACTCGGCTTTCCCTTTTGTCATGGGTTTGTTGATGGATCTAAAGCAAGCCTTTGGGTCCCTGTGGCCCGCGTGGATGTGCCACAGCAGGCCTCTGTCTGGAAGAAGAGCCTTCTCTCCCAGGGAGGTTGAGGACGGAGCCCCTGGCAGGGAGGGAATAGAAGGGGGTCACTGTGGGCTCTTGGAGACTGTGGGAAAAGAAGTTATTTCGACACGAGGCTGGGACAGGGCCTTTGCCTCAGCGACATCCTTAGGACATAGTCTGAGTGCTCCCCGTGCCCCGCTCCTTGTCCCCCGACTGGCAAAGGAGAGTCAGGCACAGCCATCCCAGAAGAGGGCGGGCATGCACGTTGGCGTGAAGGGTCAGAGAGTAAGACGCACAGCCGTTGTGGGCGGCCCCGGGCACCTTGCCTTGCGGCGTGGGCCACACCAAGGTAAGCATCTACCAAGACTAGGCAGCTCGGCCCGGCGGCGAATGTAGCACGCAGAGGCTGTCCGCTAGCAGGTGAGACACAGCGCTCTTCATGTTCTGGCCCCGGGTGAGGGGACGGAGAGTGTCTGTTCTTCGGAGGGCCTCGGCGCCCCGGGGCTGCGCTGTGCTGCGGCCGTCCTGCTTTAGCTTCCTAAAGAGCCAGGCTGGGGCAGGCAGACCCAGGCTGCACGCAGAGGGGAACCTGCAAGGCTGACGGGGGCTCTGATGGTAGGACAGGTGGCTTGGGGAAGAGGCGAGGGCCCCGCGAGGCCTAGCAGAGACGGAGCGGGAGGACACTCCCAGAGCGGGCAGGGGATGGTGCCTCCACCTTGAGCTGCTTACGATGGGGAGACAGTTGTGATTGGATCGCCCACCAGGAGCCCTGCTTGTACCTCACGGTCCTAATCGTGGGCTTTGAGGAGATAGGGGTCTGCCCAGCCCCATTAGAGTGGGGCACTGAGAACTGTTCTCCATTTGGGTGTTAGGTTAGGGCCCACTCACCCCGTGCGCTCGGTAACCTGCACCCCATCTCTGTAGAGCGTCTGGTTGATGGGCTGGTTGTTGATAGGAAGGCACCACATACCTGCTTGTGGGTTCCCTATAGCTTCTGTTCTGGGGCGGGTTTGCTCCCGACCTGTGCTGTGGGAGACACTCTGCTCACTAGACGCTGGACACGGGGGCCCCTCCAGGAGTCTGCCTCCAAGGCTTCGCTTTGAACACACGGAACAAGGATTTTGAATAAGTATTACTTGAATTGTTAAGTTAAATTTTTAAAACATCTGCCATTAAATTTTTAACATAATTTATGTTTAAGTTCTTCAAAATGACACTTTTTTTAAAAATATTATTTACTGAGTGTTGTGAAAAATAATTGAAATCTGGAAGGACTTTTATTTTTTTAATTGTATTTTGTTTTATTTTTGGAAGGACTTTTAAATGCAAAATGTATTTGCCAAAGTCTTTTACTGGAGGAGCTCAGGGATGCAAAGAGTCAGGCACTCTTTACAGCCTTCATTTGTTTTTTAAGCAAAAAGAATAGTTTCCATGGAGGCTCCTGGACTAGGCATCACCGGTGAAGTCCAGTCTTCACTTGGACTGAGGTTAACTTCGTGCCAAGCTGGAGGGCAAAAGTAGCCAGTACCTGTTTGCTGTGTGATGTGGAACGTATCAGAATGCCACTTGCTCTGTCACGCTAGTGGAAGTATGTTGGGAGTTTGGTTTGTCTGCTAGGCTGGGAAAAAGGCATTTCAGGTTTTGAGTACATACTTTCGAAGTGTCTTGTCGATGTGCGTGTGAAGGCCCCAGCCTCACCTGGAGAGGTGGCGCGCCGGCAGCTGGCTGGTCGTGTCATCCGGCCGCCACACACACGGGAGGCTGGCACAGCAGCTGCTCTGACCTTGCTTTATTTTATTTATTTTTTAAGCAGGCTCCACGCCCAGCGCGGAGCCCAGTGCGGGACTTGAACTCACGACTGTGAGATTGAGACCTGAGCCGAGATCAAGAGTCGGATGCTGAACTGGCTGAGCCACCCCGGCGCCCCTGGCCTTGTTTTAAAGAAGTGCTTAGTCACTAGGACAAAGGCTATAAAGAAGATTCTGTTAAGCACTGCCCCTCCCCCCCCCACAGCCAATAAAGTAATAAATATATACCTTAGTAGAAAGATTAAATCTAATAATCTCGGAGGGTAAAATGATTTGGGTCAGGTATGTTTTAAGCTGTTTGGCTTATTATAACCTGTTTCAGGGTTTATGTTCTTACTATATGATTTGTTTTTATTTTTTTAATGTCTTAACGAAGAACACTTCCTGTTGTCTTAAGTTGCTGCTTCTTCTCGCATCACAGCTGGAGGAGAAAGCTCGCCTGGAAGCAGAGGCCCGGGCCCGGGAGCACCTGCACCTCCGCGAGGAGCAGCGACGGCAGCAGGAGGAGGAGGAGTTTCAGCGGCTCCAGGAGCTTCAGAAGCTGAGGGCTGCGAAAAAGAAGAAGAAGGAGAGGCCAAGTAAAGACTGTCCCAAGTTGGACATGCTTGCTAGAAACTTCCAGGCAGCAGCAGAGTCCGTGCCCAACTCTGAAAACATGCACAATGGCTCACTGGAGCAACTGGAAGAACCAGAAACCTCCTCTCCCTCTCCTTCCGGACATGGGGACCACACGGAGCCCAGGCCAGGGCCGGCGGCCAACGGGGATGCCGCCGGCCCCGCGGACTCCAGAGACTCCACGCTCCTCCTCCCGAAGGAGGCCAGTGCGAAGCGGCAGGAGCCACTGTCTTTTCTCCTTGACATAATGCAGCACCACAAGGAGGGGAACGGCAAGCAGAAGCTCAGACAGACCAGCAAGGCCAGCAGCGAGCTGCTGAGGAAGCCGGCCGAGCCCCCCAAAGCCTCCGAGGGCCAGCCCAGACCCCGGCCCCAGACCGAGTCAAAGGCGAAAGTGCTTGACTTCACTTCCCTGGCGGAGCACAAAAGGGACGACAGAAAAGTGAACAGTAACAACAACAACAGAAAGCAGCTGAACCACGTCAAGGAAGAGAGGTTGAATCCGGCCCCCCCAGAGCCTGCCTCCCCCAGTGAGCACCCTCAGGACAGCAAGCTGGTACTGGCGGACTCTCCGCAGCCTAAGGGCAAGAGCAAGAAAAATAGGAAGAAGAAAGGAGACAGAGTCAGCAGTTCAATCGGTAAATAGGGAGCAGTGGGGAGTGTGGCCGGTGCCCCTGGTGCCCCTGTCGACCCGGGTGCTGGCTTGGGGCCACTGGTGGCTTTGCCACAGCAGGGTGACACAAATAGCCATTGTTGTTCCGCGTTGTTGTTTTGAAATTATCATAGTACAAAGAATTCCTCTGCGGCTCGCTCCGATTCCCCAAACTCAGTGTGTACCACATCTGCTCTCTCTCTTTCTCCCTCTTTTATTGTTTTTCTGAGGCAAAGGAGAGTAATTTCAGACATGAGGCCCCTTTGCCCTTAAATACTTCACTGTATATTTCCTCAAAACAAGGACACTCTCTTACAAAACCACAAATACAGTTATCAGAATTAAGAAATTAATACTGATACAATAGCATGATCTTAATTATAGACCCTACTGCTGTTTCTCCAGCCATCCCTTTAATTTCCTTTATAGAAAGAAGAAAAAAGTTTTTCCTGACACAGGATCCCGTCCAGGTCACATGTCATATCTCCTTAATTTCCTTTAATGAATCAGTTCCTCAGTTTCTCTTGACCTTGACATTTTTAAAGAGTCGGTCCATTTATTTTTTTTAGAATAATTTATTATTTGGAATAATTTCAGTTTGGTTTTGTGTGCCATTTCTTGATGATCAGATTCAGAGTATGTGTTTTGGGCAGTGGTGCCGTGGAAGTGGTGGGTCCTTGCTGGTGCCCTCCATGTGGGGCACAGTGTCTGGTGATGGGGACTCAGCCTCCCCTTTGCTCACGGAAGTGGGAGTGTCTGATGGGGATGTGGGTCTCCTGCTGCTGGTAACATCCACTGGCAAGTCCTGCCCGAAATGGTTGTTCCTGTTGTTTGCCACGTGGTGATTTTTCTAACATTATTATTCCTTGGACAGTTCTTATTTGGTGCTTTCCTTCCCCCCCGCCCCATGTATGGCTTTCATTCGTTCAGTTATTTAGATCAGGGTGGGTTCGTAGAGTCTTACTTTGTACTATAGACCATAGTCCTTTACTAACACTGCTTATTTTGGTCCTCTGGCTGTCCCAGATGCAGTCGGTGCCCCCTCAGATGGTCCCTCGACCCCAGCACTCTTGGGGCACTTGCTTACTTTCCTGCACAGTGAGATGTTCTGGGCTTATCTTGTACTTTCCCTGTCTCAGCCCTGAAGCTGCCGTTTTCCAGGGAGCCCTGGTTCTTTTTAGAGGAGTTGAGAAACCCAGATCCGGGTGCTGCTGCTGTGTGGTTGCTGCTATATCCTTTCCACTGACACAGCCGGGAGTGGCGGTGGGGGGGCGCATACGCAGCCTCCATGAGCATCTCATGTAGTTTCTGTTCACACCGAGGGCTTCGGTGGCGCTCCCCCTCGCCTCTCCACCTGCACAGCGCTGTGCGCAGTGTTTAAGGGAATGCACGGAAAGTAGGTTCAAAATTGCTCACCACCACCCGCCCACCCCCCCCCCCGTGAAAAGTCTCCAGGCTGAGGGCACGCGGGCTGGGGCTGGAGCGCAGCGGCGGGGAGGTGCCGGGAGGGGCGCCCGCACGGTCTGGTGCAGCTGCCGCTGTAGGCGCCTTTGTTTCTGTTCGGTTCCCTCCGCGTTGGTTTCCCCACCCCCAAGCCCGGTTCTCCCTTTTCCACCTCACTTCCGCCCACTCCCTGTAGGTAACTACTCGGTTTCGTTCTTTTCTTTTTTACACAGAAGGTAACTTCTAGAGATCTTCTTTTGTGGCTTGCTTGCCCCTCCCGCCAACTGAACATGTTCGGGAAAGCGCGATGGGTTCACAGAGCTCCTCCACGCCGTGCTGCAGCCCCGGGAGTCCGGCCGGGGCTTGTGGTTGTCCGCGGGGCCGCCCTGGGCGCTGTTTCTTGCCAGGGACTCCCAAGAAGGCGGAGTGCCGAGTCAGGAGGCGGGGCGTGGACCGTCTCATCAGGCTGGTGACTTGAGCCAAGACAGGAGGTGATGTCAGTCCCCAGGGCAGCTTTCATGTGCATTTTCTCTAATTGCAGTGAGGTTATATTTTTAAGGACTGTTTGTCTCTTTTTCGTGAATTTTCTATTCACATTTTTTTCTTGGTTTTAAATTAGGTTTTTGGTCTTTTTCTTTGCATTTTTAAGAGTCTTTCATATATTAGGAATATTAATTGGCCTTCTTTCTACCTACATCACAGGCTGCAGATACATACTTCTTTGGACTGTGTCTGTGATGTTTGCCAGCCATGCAGTAGTTTTCTTTTTCAGTTTTAGATAGTCATTTCATTGATCTTTTAGTGCCTCTGGATTTTAAAGTGGTCGGAAAGTGTTACTCTAACGCTAAGGTGGACGAGGATGCGCCTGTGCCTTCCAGGATTTCTATAGTCCCACCTTTCTCATTTAGCCCCTGGTACATTTGGAGATTTTTCGTGGGTATCGTGTGAGCCATGGGTCCGGTATTCTCTCTTCTTAAGGGGTTAGCCCACTGGCCCAGCACCAGTTACTAAAAATTCATCTTGCCCCGTGATTCGGGGTGCCTCCTTTGTGCTAAACTAAATGTCCCTGTGTCCTTGATCTACTCAGGAATTTCTGTTCTTTTCCTCCTTGCCTCTTCCTGAGCCCTTGCTGCGCTGAGTTAGGTACTTCGGGAGCTCCGTGTGTTTCAGCGAGGCCTCGCCTCCTGGCTGTTTTCCACTGCCGTCCCAGCTCTTCTTGCGTGTCTGTGCTTCTGTACGAACTTTAGTGCCCGCGTGCCAGAGCCATAGTGTCTCTGTTGGGGTTGCATTACATTTACAAATTAATTTAGGGAGAATTTATATCTTTATGTTGATTGTCCTTTCCAGAAATAGGAGTGTTTCTCCATTTGTTCAAGTCTACTTTTGTGACTTTTAGGAATGTTTTAAATTTTCTCTCATAGAAAGAGAGAAATGGAAATTGGTCTATTTGGTATTTCTGTTTCTAATGAGGTTAATTTTAGTACACTATATTTCCATAGTAAATTATTCTTTTAGCTAGATTTTCCAACTTATTTACCTACATGTCTGAAACTACATAGTTTTTAAAAATGTATTTTTCAATGGCTATTTTCTTTTTTAACTTTTTTTTAAATTTAAATTCTATTAATTAACGTATAATATTGGTTTCAGAGGTACAGGCCTATGATTCATCAGTCTTATATAATACCCTGTACTCATTGCATCACATGGCTTTCCTCTCTTCCCCTATGATCCTCTGTTTGTTTCTTATATTCCACATGTCAGTGAGATCATATAATTGTTTTTCTCTGATTGAGTTATTTCGCTTAGCATAATGTCCTCTAATTCCATCCACATCATTCAAATGGCAAAATTTCTTTTTCTGATGGCTGTGTAATATTCCATTGTATATATATACACCACATTTTCTTTATCCATTCATTTGTCAATGGACACCTATTGTGGACATTACTGCTATAAACATTGGGGTGCATGTGCCCCTTTGGATCACTGTATTTGTATCTTTGGGGTAAATACCCAGTAGTGCAATTGCTGGGTCATATGGTAGCTCTGTTTTCAACTTTTTGGGGAACCTCCATACTGTTTTCCAGAGTGGCTGCACCAGCTTGCATTCCCACCAACGGTGTAGGAGGGTTCCCCCTTCTCTGCATCTTCGCCAACATCTGTCATTTCCTGACTTGTTAATTTTAGCCATCTGACTGGTGTGAGGTGGTATCTCATTGAGGTTTTGACTTGGATTTCCCTGTGATGCCGAGCGATGTTGAGCACTTCTTCATGTGTCTGTTGGCCATTTGGATGTCTTCTTTGGAGAAATGTCTGTTCGTGTCTTCTGCCCATTTCTTGATTGGATTATTTGTTCTTTGGGCATTGAATTTGATAAGTTCTTCATAGATTTTGGATACTAGCCCTTTATCTGATATGTCATTTGCAAATATCTTCTCCCATTCTGTCGTTTGTCTTTGGTTTTGTTGACTGTTTCCTTTGCTGTGCAAAAGCTGTTTATCTTAATGAAGTCCCAATAGTTTATTTTTGCCTTTGTTTCCCTTGCCTTTGGCGATGTGTCTAGGAAGAAGTTGCTGCGGGTGAGGTCAAAGAGGTTGCTGCCTGTGTTCTCTAGGATTTGGATGGACTCCTCTCTCACATTTAGGTCTTTCAACCATTTTGAGTCTATTTTTGTGTGTGGTGTAAGGAAATGGTGCAGTTTCATTCTTCTGCATGTGACTATTCAATTTTCCCACCACCATTTGTTGAAGAGACTGGTTTTTTTCCATTGGACATTCTTTCCTGCTTTGTCGAAGATTAGTTGACCATAGAGTTGAGGGTTCATTTCTGGGTTTCCTATTCTATTCCACTGATCTGTGTGTTTTTGTGCCAGTACCATACTGTCCTGATGATTACAGCTTTGTAATAGAGCTGGAAGTCCAGAATTGTGATGCCACCAGCTTCGGCTTTCTTTTTCAACATTCCTTTGGCTACTTGGGGTCTTTTCTGGTTCCGTACAAATTTTAGGATTATTTGCTCCAGTTCTGTGAAAAAAGTGGATGGTATTTTGACAGGGATTGCATTGAATGTGTAGTTTGCTCTAGGTAGCATAGATATTTTACAGTATTCTTCCAATCCGTGAGCGTGGAATGTTTTTCCATTTCTTTGTGTCTTCCTCAGTTTCTTCTATGAGTGTTCTATAGTTTTCTGAGTACAGATTCTTTGCCTCTTTGGTTAGATTTATTCCTAGGTATCTTATGGTTTTGGGTGCAATTGTAAATGAGATCGGCTCCTTAATTTCACTTTCTTCTCATTGTTAGTGTATAGGATGCAGCTGATTTCTATGCATTGACTTTATATCCTCCCACTTTGCCGAATTCCTGTATGAGTTCTAGCAGTTTTGGGGTGGAGACTTTTGAGTTTTCCACACAGAGTATATCATCTGCGAAGTGTGAGAGTTTGACTTCTTTGCCAATTCAGATGCCTTTTATTTCTTTTTGTTATCTGATTGCTGAGGCTAGGACTTCTAGTAGTATGTTGAACAATAACGGTGAGAGTGGA